TAGGCCTATACCATCCTAGCTAGTCTAGGCCTAGAGAGCACAAACATGCGGACGTTGGTACGAGTAGGTTAGTCTACAAACATCGCCTAAAGTAATTGATTTTACCTGGCAGAATGAAAGAAGGAAACTCCACTTTTCAGTCGTCTTAGGCACCTGTTTTTTGACAAACAATGACCTTTCAGAGGTCAAATTGCTGTCAAGAATATGAATTGGCTGCTTTGCAGCAATAATAATAATAATAAAAATAATAATAACTAGATTGAAATTCGTGTTTGATGAATTTTAGGTGATACTCAGGATCCAGTAGTTTTCCTCAGCGAGAAAATTTTGAAATTCCCAAAATGGCCTAAACCAGTCTGCTGCCCTCTGGCGGAGGTCGATTTATGATAATCATAGAATTTCACAAAGATTTAAAGGAAAAAATGAGGGGGGAGGGGGCAAGGTAAAACATTCATTTTGACAATGATGACCTCATCAAATTGAAAATGGAAGGCACAATTATGAAAGAAAATTGTTTCTGCTGTAATATACTGAAACTTGTGAGAGGATTGGTCAAGAATAAGTGATATACGCTCAAATGAGTATAATAATTATTACCTCATAGATAAATATTCAGTATTGTCAATTCAGATGGCAATATGATGACGTCACAATGTCAGATCAGCCACAATGATCTAAAATCATATCTACAACTCATGTTCTTTCAGAATATGTAATAAAAATTGGGAGCTATATAGTATAACTGATTAAAATTAGGCATGATTTTGGCATATTTTCACTGTAAACGTGCGTACGAATTTGTATGTGCGATATGCACGTACATGATTGTTATCAGCCCTAAAATGACTGAAAAAGAATGGAAATTTGTGAATACAGTGTCAGAAACCCAAATATGTAAGCAAAATGTAATTCATAGCTTCTGTACATGTTATGCACGTGAAAATGTACAAAACGAAAAATGTAGAAAAATTGGAAATGCTCAAAATGGCCTGAAACATGCTCTAATTTAGTCTAAAAGTGATTTTGAAATTTTAACACACGCATTTGAGCACGCTATCGCGCTCGCGCAGACGTTGATGAGTACAAAAAGTTTAATCTTCTTATGAAGTATAATTGTGTCAAGTTTTATTGAAAAATGCCTCTTGGTGAGGAATTTAGGATCAATCATAACATTTCACAAAATGGCGCGTAGATGACGTCACATGACTGTGACGTCAAACAAAAAGTCACCTAAAAACTTAAGATGTAGGTCTGTCTGTTAGCCAAATAACAAGGATAGAACCTGTGCCATTTTTGAGAATAAACTCACCTAATACAGGTAAATAAAGAAGAAAAATCTTAAGAACAACAATAGGTGATGCCCTGTAGCAGCGTTTCACCTAATAATAGCATTTATATTGCACCATTTATCCAAAGAACTTGCTCTTCACATTACAAACAGATAATAAAGTATTACATGTTGACATTCATAATTGGGACATGCACAAAAATAAGATCTAAAACCTCTAAAAAGACCTCAATGCATCAATTTGAGGAAAGTAGTTTAAACAGTTGTGGATTTGAGCTCTTCACCTTAAGGTTGGTGTTGGCTATCACTGTACATCTTGATTGTGCTTGTGGGCAAGGTGTACTTTATCAACATTTTCTCATTCTGCTAAGGGATAAAAGAGGGTATCTGGAAGGATTGATTACTGGATACTTAGAATGGCCATGATGTCGTAATTAAAACTACCAAGAAATAACATAATGAATGCCAATAGCTGGAAATATTTGGGAGCATTCACACAGGTGTTAGTTAGCCTTCCAATTGGTTTGCTACTATATTGTTGTAGTTTGCTACATTTAATATAATCAAAGTGTAATTGGTATTAGTGGCTTCATTTTACATCCTACTACAATGTATTCTCAATATTTTTTAATTAATTACTAATTCTTTTAAAGTCTCCTTGCATTAAACAATGTTAAAAATCTGTTCATTTTTGTAGTCTATTTCATATATGTTATCATTGTATTTATTGCTTTCATTGTAATATGAGTTTGTGACATTTTAGTGAGCTATCAACCTTTATGAGAATGTGTTTGAAGTTACTAGGTCATATGAAACACAATATCTACCAATTATCTACAGTATCTATTAAAAAAACAAGTCCACAAGTTTACAAGTTATTGTATATTACTGTAGTAACTATGGAATATTCTAACAAATATGTTGTTACTTTAACAAAATCAGATCAGAAATTGAAGAATGATATTATTTCCTTTTCTAAAAAATGTATAATTGTTTGAGTTTTAGACAAGGATTCCATTGGTAATTGATATATTTTGGGTGGCTGTTCTATACTTCAATATTAAGATGAGGACAACTCCTTTCAGACTAATGAAATTTAATAATAAAAAAAAAATAAATAACCAAAAGTTTTTGTTCATGCAATAAATTTCTTGGTGAAAGCCCATTTGAGATACTCATCTTAATTCTGTAATATAGTAAAGTAGTATGATTGTGATTTTCTTTTGACTATGAATTTTGTCCCAGTGACTTTAAATGTACAATTGATGATGTTATTATTTGAGGTCATTGAACCATAGAAGATTAATAATCCTTATACTTTAAAGTTTCAACTGGTTTTGTATTTGTGTGCAGATGAATCATGCATGCCGAGCTTTGACCTACATGATGGAAGCTTTACCAAGGTCTTCGGCTGTTGTTGTAGAAGCTATACCTGGGTTTTTAGAAAAGGTAAATTATACAAATAATAAAATTCTTTGTGTCTGGGGTATTTGAAAATTATACAAAATGTATGATAAATATTATTGAAAAGGTGTATTGTGTTTTTGCATTAATTACCAACTTTGCTTCTTAATGGATTTGGTAGTATAATCAATTCCGAGGTAAATTTATTCCTGGGCCATTTTACCTGGACTCTTTACTGACGGCAGCATTTTAACAAAATAAATCACATGATAGAAACTTTGATGTGATTTATATAATTCATACCTAATTATGCAATAATAATACCCTGTAAAGAAAAACCATGTGTCTTAATTGGAACAAATCCAAGTAGGCATACCAGCATGACCTCATAGCTTAGTTGGTAGAGCATCTAAACGATTCTTCTGGAGTCTCACATCTCTGAGGGGCCATTACGCTCTTGCATTTTAAATATTCAATAGAATTCACCGAAACTGTAGTCAGAATACTTTCTGCCACTTATAAACAACCTTTGAATTGTTCTATTGTGACATGCATACAAATACAGACAAATATTTAGTGTGCACAAAATGTGTGATGACATTTTTTATTACATACACTTTTATTGTCATGATTGTGCAGTGGTTTCATTTTTTGGTTTTGTTATTTTCCTTAATTCTGCTGTTAAGCCTTTTTGATGTTAACGTAATTCAGCCTTTTGGCTGCCATGTTTTATGTTTTTATGAATTTTGATTGAATAAACATAGTATACATATTACATACTATACAATACTGCCACTTAGAAATTTTTAGCTGGTTAGATTTACAGTTTGGCTTGAGTAATTTTTCCAATGAGAACATGTCATAGGCTGTCCACACTTGAATTTTTATGGTCAAATTGATCTGGTACATGGTTAGTTTGACAATGAAAACATGACTTTAGTTTTAGGCTCATTAAAAACGCAGTTAGTAGGTTGCCATCCTCCAGCTAGCTAGTGGATATGAGATAANNCGCCTGTAAATATTTAGTTTTATTGGTCTTTTTTGAATTTAGCTTCAAGTTATTCAATGCATGGATGTAGCTGAGCAGTCACTTACAGCGTTGGAGATGTTGTCACGACGACATAGCAAGTCAATCCTACAAGCTGTAAGTAGACAATTTGTAACCAATCTTTTATTTTTAACATTCACCTCCAGTGTTTACAAAGTAATGGAGAACCTTGAAATTTTTTTTCCCACATTTTTATTATATTGGAATAGTAATTTAATATAACAAGTATAAGTGAGATTTTTGTAGCACATAATATAGATCCTTTTGACTTACTAACTTTTGACATTATAAGAAAAATAAAGGGATTGAATTGACAAAATAGTTGTAAAATTCTTTGCATTTATAGAGAAAAACATTTTTTTTTTTATCTTTAATGTTAATAGCACAATGTAATGCTCATTCATTTTCATTTCCTATTTCTTCAGGGTGGTGTATCAGCTTGTCTCTTGTATATTGAGTTTTTCTCAATCAATGCTCAGAGGAACTCTTTAGCTGTGGCAGCCAACTGCTGCCAGAGTATGGGACAGGATGAGTTCCACTATGTACGCGATTCGTTGCCGCTACTCACCGGCAGACTTCAACATCAGGTTTGTACCTTCTAATTATCTCTATAATAATTTATCATTGTATCGGTTTTTGTAACCATCAGTCAATTTGTCGGTCGATCTACCCATTGGTTTACTTTTCATCCATCCATCCATCCATTCTGCCATCAATTTGTTTATTATCACCATCATCCTCATCAACATTCTTATCCCCATCAGTATCATCATCATCGTCATCATACTTCTCATAATAATAATAATAATAATAAATTTATAAAATTCCTAATTCAAAAACAGCCTCAAAAGTGCTGAAGATGCCTGTTGATTAATTTAACCATATTGTATAATCATCCTTCTCATCATCATCTACATCCTTCTCATCATCCTTGTGATCAACATCATCCCTATCATCCTTAGCCATTGTCAACAGTCTGTAGTTCTTCACAAGATGTTCCGATAAGTCTGATGGTATTTTTTTTAATGTTTCAGGACAAGAAGTCTGTTGAAAGTACATGTTTGTGTTTTGCCAGACTAGTTGATAATTACCATAGCAACGATAAACTTCTGAAAGAGATAGCGGCTCATGGGTTGCTTAGCAACCTGCAGCAGTTGGTTAGTACCAATTGGTTATTTTTAAAAACTTCATTCTCACTGATATATATTTTATATATTTTTTAATTATATGCATGTATTATATGCATGTATGTGCATCACATTTGAATAATAGAATAGTAATTTAAAAAAATATATTTCTTTTCTTTAGCTTATGGTCACACCCCCTATCATAAGCACCAACACGTTCATTATGGTTGTGCGGATGTTGTCCGTGATGTGTGCTAGTTGCCCCGAACTGGCTGTACAACTTTTAAAACAAAGTGAGTATTCTACATTATGTTGCAGTTGTTATCAAGGTATTCCCCTTATCCATAAGTTTTATTTTCATAAAATGATTACAGAATAGGCATTTTTTGGCTGTAAAAATCAGAATGCTAACTAAACCTTCAGTATAAACTAAGAGAGTGTACTAATTTGGTGCTAAAGAACTTAATGAAGTATAGTAAGGACAGTGTTCGTATCTGTGTCTGCCTGTTATGTAGTAGTTAAGTTGGTTGGCGCTGCACTGCCGCTGCTGCTGGTCACCAGGAGCCCAACCCAAATTTCAGATTTACTATTAGAATGAGGACCAATAAAGAATTTTATTTAAAATGAAATTATTACTGTAGAACCCCTATTAAGGGGACATCATCGGGACCCAAAAAAGTGTCGCCCTTAATATTAGGGGTATCCCTTTAATAATAGGGGTGTCCTCCGAATAGGGCTTGGCCGTAGTGCTAAAAGATGTATTTCCCTCACTTCACTGCCAAAAAAGTATCCCCTTACAAAATAGGGATGTCCCAAAGAAGGGTTCTATTTAGTGTATCATGTAACTAGCCTGGTTGTAGAATCAAAGAGGCCAGTAGAAGAATCTAGAAATAATGTACTAGTTCTCTATTTGTAGTCTTCTTTTTTTATTTTATTTGCTTCCTATATTCAAATCATGTAGTGTCTATTGTATGATTCCATTCTATGTGTAGCAACCTGTGAATAAAAGCCATATTAGTTTTGAATAGTGTATACTTAGAAGCTTACATCAATATCACTTTATCAATGTACAACATAAATATTCAAAGAAGAAATGCCATATGTTTTCTCAATACTACAGTAAACACCTAATAAGAACCTAGTGATTTATCAAAACCTATAGGCTATAATTGTTGTATTTGATCCCATTATATTTGAATCCATGTAGCCTGGCATAAGAAATATGTTCTTATTCTTACTATATTTCTGGGATTTTGTAAGGATTAATTTCTATCGCACAACAGTAATAACGAGATAAAGTGCAACTACAAACATTTGCAGGCAGCTTAAATCTCTGAATAAAAATTCAGGACCCTAATGGCATGATTTTCCACTTAACACCCGATATATACTAACCTATTTAAAGTGTCTTAAAAAAATATATTCTTATAAGCAGTGAAGCCCCCATCATGACACTTAGTTTATAGACATTCCTGTAATATAACAAATGCACTTGCTGTTAAATGTGAAAAAAAATAATCACCTTTACTGCTCAGTCATGCAACCCATTGATAAAATTGTGTATCGTATCGTAATCTTTTTTAGGCGGGTATGATAACAAGGTAAAACGTTTACGTATTAGTTGTTTTTTTATAGGAAATTTGGTCTACGGCCAATTAATGTAGATCGTAAACATTTCTGTAATGAAATCAACCAAATAAGCAGTTGTAGTTGATTCAGTCTACCAGCATCACCTAGTCATCACATAATCTAATTTGCATAGATCTATAAAAAGATTTCCAAATATTTGAGTAGCTATTCATTACAGTAATCATTGATGTTTTTGTTTTTTGTTTTACTGGAGAATTAATATTGAAATTGTATTTTGTTCAGTTATTCTTGTATTATTGTGAGTGATTTACAATAAACATTACTTAATTCATTTTAATGTATGATTATTTGCCCTACTTAATAAAAATAGTTAGATCATTTTATCAGTAGTTTGGCATATCATATTTCATTTTGGCTCTTAGCCTAGGTTAGAATACTTGCCTGTAACTTCTGGGCTGGTAGAAAGCAAAATTGCTATGGCCCAACTTCAAATAAAACTATAACTGCTGTTGGTGGCGTACTGGTGCATGAGGGTTCGAAGATGGTAAAATTAAAAAGAAAATTTTAATGGATGGTTTCTCCATGCCTCAATTTAAGCGTGATTTAAATACATGAGAGAACTGGATTCAATAACCGATTTGGGTTCTGCCACCCGACATGAAAAAGCATACTTTCTAGAATCCAATCTAAAATGACTTTAGTAAAGCTTGAATGGATGACCCCTGGTCTGCTGAGCATATGCTAAGGTGAGCCTTTTTTTATACCTTGTTTAGCGAACCTGCCGACTGTAAATAATGATGATTTCGAATAAAAATAAAATTTTAATTTCGGCCAATTAGCGCACACACTGCCAAGAAAAAGTGGAAATTTCAGAAAAAAATAAAAGTTTTTCTTTATTTTTATTACACCCTCCACTGCTTTGAAATCTCCAAAGATAAGATTTGTATATTTCTTCCAAATTATATAAATTTGAAGCATTTAACCATCCTATTTTACATTCACAAAAAATTTTTTATTATTAGTATTTTTTTCTCTGTCTAGATGTTTTTGGCAAAATTATTTGCTAAAAAAGAAAACAAATTTTTATTTTTATAATTATCCCGCCCTCAGATGATCTTTTAAAAAATAGTTACGCGAAACAAGGAATGAAAAAAAGTCTCACCTAATCTAAAAAAAAAAAAAACAGAACTATTCAATTTGGTGAGACCTTGAAAAATTTTATAAACTTGAACTACATTTGCGCTCAATCGCCTGTACTCTCAAGTAGGCAAACCAAGCTCTCTCAGCCTCTGACCATAAGGAAGATCTTATAAACTAATGAACTAATACTAAAAATTATAACTAAAAAACTAAAAGAATAAACTTTGTTCTTGTGCTTAAAAAATGTATTACTTTATTTGAATGCTGCATTTAGTGTCCATTGGCATCTATTCCACTAGAACATTTTCTATCAATCCCCCCTCTCTTCTTTCCCTCATTTTTCATTGTGATAATTATTAAATCGATCCTAATTTGGTTGAACAATGGTTTTAATGTGTTTTATAATTCTTTTAACCTGTAGATATTGCTGACACCATTAGTTATTTACTCATAGGACCATCTGACAGTGCTAGTATAGACATAGAGGTAAGTTACTTTCTGATATATCACTATGCATTTAGTCCACACACAGAAAACATTTCACTAAGATGCATGGATCAAAAGTTGAAAAAAAAAAATCTTTCAGGAGATCTGGTTAAATGTGCTTTGTTAACACTTGTAACTTTATTATGAATGGGATACACTGATTTCAGATAGATTATTGATACACAGTAATAAAAATATGCAAATATAATGAATTGGTTGGGTAAACGTTAGTTTCCGGGAGACTTCTAATACTTACATTAGACTTAGGACTCGTGTCTGGCTTCAATGCTTTATGCTAATATGTAATTTAATGTCATAATGAGGACCTTATGCATAGTTTGCTCTTTGGACATATGTTGACGCATGAAAATATCGATTTTTAAATCAGTGTGTACTATAATTCAAGAACTGGATGAATAAAGATAAACTTTTTTTTTTCATTGTATTCAGTTGTATAGGTTTGCTACTTTTTGTTTGGGGATGATTGTTAAAAGATGTGCTTTGTAAAGGGGTCACAAAGTAATTTGACAAATTTTTAAATAAAAGCCTTTAATTTGTTTGTTTTCTTTTAACAGCTAATTCCAAGGACACCTCCAGAGCTTTATGAAATAACATCTCTGATTGGGTAGGAGTACTTGACTGTATTACTTATATTTCCCTCTTATTTAATCGTAAATTGATTTAAGCTATAAAACACATAATTTATTTAGTTGAATATTAACATTTGTGTGATCTCTTATATCATTTATACTCATGCCTATATTTTATTTATATTTATGTCATTCACTCATTCGTCTATTAATGTATTCATTTCTTCAATAATTTATATTTATTCAGTATGTATTTATTATTATAATACGGTATTAGGACAGCCAATAATATATTTAACTTAAATTGAAAACCCAGGTGCTATTGTTTCACAAATTTAATGCACATACAAACATTAAAATTAATGAAACAATTAAAATTGTTAAATATACTTATAATTTCTTAATATAATTTCTAAAAAGAGATACTACTGTCAAATGTCAATGTAACACGTTCACTGCTAGACCTTTTTTAAGGTTCCTTCCTGTGTGCCAAAAAATCATCAAAATGATGTGTCTAAAAAATTGGTGGGAAAATATTAGGTGGCGAGTAATCTTGTCGACGGCACTGTGATAGCACAACAAACATACATACGTCATTTGTACGTATCTTCCCCAAGCTACCAGCCGTTGAGTCCAATAACAAAGAAGTTATAAACACTAGAAGGTTACTCCGATTTTGAAAAGTATACTCGTCCCTGGCACCTTCAGCAACACCCTGTGGGCAAGTATACTCATTGCTGGAAGCCAACGTATTAAATGACGTAACCAATAAATATCAAGTCAAAAAAAGCTTCCTAAGCCTCAAAAACAGACTTAGTTCATAAAGCATCATTTCATCCTGTAATTGTAGAGTTACTTACTGTTGGATGCAACAGAAATTTTTAAAATTTAAACTTTTTTATTTCAGTGAGCTGATGCCTCGCCTTCCGAGTGATGGTATCTTCACAGTGGATGCAATGCTAAAGAAGGGGAGCGTACAGGTGCAGGAGCAGGTGGCATGGCAGTGGAGGGATGACCGTGGCATGTGGCATGCTTACACCAGAATCGACAACAAGATCATTGAGGCTGCTTCTCAGGCTGGAGAGGATGAGGTTTGCCTGTCCACAATGGGACGTACTTACCTAGTGGACTTCAACTCCAGTCAACAAATCAATGAGGACACAGGAACTACAAGGCCAGTCCAACGGAGAACAAATCCTTCCGCATCAAGTTCTTCATCAGGTATGATACCATTAGGGAGCTTTCTATTTGCTCATCCTACATTCTCTGCGCAACATAGATTTGGTCAAATTCAAATGCCCAGATGACTTTTTAGTAACATTCTAACGTACACCGCATTTAAAAAAAAAAAAAACCCACAAGACCAAAATATAAGAGATCAACTAACAACCTTTGTCTATTGAATAATCAAGTTATAGTCAGTATTTCTATTTTGTTACAAAAATAGGTTCATCGGCGACATCAGAAACTAGCGATGCAAGAGCTAATCTACTACAGGAAGATAACACGCTGGCATTTCATTTCATCAAAGCTTTGTTTGCAATTCTATATGAAGTCTACAGTTCATCAGTAAGTAGCAATGCATTATAGAATATCCCCCTCTAAGGATAATTAAGTTTGGCTTTTTAATTTGCTAACATGTTCAATAACTTTTTCTTAGTGCTAAATAATATGACTGTTTTTCAATAATATAAAAATAATTTGATGTTTAATTTACATTGTTTTTAGGTTTCTTAAAATTATCCAATTTATTGAATTTATTTTGCCAGTTAATATTCTTTATTTTTTAATCGTTGTATGATAGTTTGTACAGATATATGCTTGCATATAACTGTGTATCATGATGAATAAAAAGTGTAGCCGCGTTAGTCTTCTATGGAACAATATAAAAGAAATGACAGCAGCACTTTTAAGACTAAAAATATAGAATTTATTTTTCTTTCGTCCACACAGTGGACTTCATCAAGAGACTGATATGCAAGCTGTGATTGTAGAAGTAAAAAAAGCATAAGTAACTCCTAGCTGAATTGATGTGAAAATGTTATCAATTAAGTGATAACTAAAATGATTAATTCATTGATTTGGATATTTGATTATAGGCTGGTCCAGCTGTAAGGCACAAGTGTTTGAAAGCCTTGTTGAGAATGGTGTATTTTGCAGACCCTCAGCTTCTCAAGGATGTACTCAGCAATCATGCTGTTTCAAGGTGAGTCACTCATTTACTGACCAATTTCATTATTTTACTTTTTATTTTGGTAACTAATTGAAGGAAAATCAAACACAATAAAATAAAAATGAATAACAAAAATATAATAAAGTATAATTAGCAAAATAACAATCTTTATTTCTGCAGTCACATTGCGGCAATGGTATCATCTCAAGATCTGAAAGTAGTGGTAGGAGCTCTCCAGATGGCCCATATTCTAATGCAGAAGCTCCCAGATATATTTCATGTGTACTTCAGAAGGGAAGGTAAGTAAAGAGCTTATCTGAAATATTTAAATTAATTGTAAAAATAGAGTTTGTATTAATTATACAAAATGCTTTGTTACCATAGGATTATAAAACATGATTGAATCCACTGCTCTAATATTTAGACTACTGCACTAGATGGAAAATGTACTGCCATTTCTATTTTTGATTAAAAAAAATCCAAGTTTACTCTTACTAATAGTTTTAATACTAATATTGTAACTTTAAACATAGCTGAGAATGCTTTTTAAAATGACATTTGAAACAAAAAAACTATACAAAGTAAAGCAATTTTTTTTTTGACAAGGAAGCTAAAAAAGAAAGTCGACAAAAGCAAATGAACATCATCGCATTACTTACTATGTGAAAAAAATTACATTCAGATCATTACTAAAACTGTTTATTTGTTTTTTTGTTTTTGTTTTTTTTTTTATGTTGAGTCACTATCTCTACTACTGTATTCTGTAGGGACTGGTCTAAACACTAAATTCATTTTAGTGTCAAGTTTTCAGAAACATAATGTGTTCTTTTTCTTGAAGGTGTCATGCACAGGTTAAAACAGTTGCTAGAAGCCAAGGATACCAGTCCTGCTAGTACCTCTCCAACCAAAGAGACACCACCAAATAAAAACACAAAAGATGGGACCAAAGAAACTGCACCAAGTACATCTGGCGTAGCAAATAATGCAAGTTCTCCAACCCTGGATGATTCTTTGGATCTTGATAGCCCGCCACAAGGGTAAGTAAATATATAGAATGTATATTCACAGACCTTGTTGAAATCAACAAGGAAAATTTGGATTATGTCATGAGGACCCAAGGAAGCTGCAGTGCAGTGCCTATAGTGATCAGTACACTGTAAAAATAACCCTTGTGCTTGGAGTGTACCAAGTTTTTTTTGTGCGTTAAATGCTAATATGCCCAAGGGACCAAAACATCATTGTTTTTTTCCAAAGAACTATGTGCTTACGCTAATGTATTATATTCATAATCAAGCAAATATGACATTGACAGTTTTCAAACTTATTTCTCTTGGACCAAATTCTAATTTCTAAGTTCAATACAGAAATTCCTTAGAATTAAACCAATACTCACTATTTAAACTATTTGAACAATCCTTTAGTTCTGTACTAACTTGTCCTCCTAAGATTAGTTATTTTTTAGTACTTTTTAAAATATTTTTAATGAGATATTTTTTATGTTGGTTAGTGAAATTAGGGTATTATTGCCTAAATCAGCTTCACTTGCTGATTATGTTTATGAAATGCTAATGTTAATATTTTTATATAAATATATTTAACTTTAAATATTTAACAGTCGATTAAGTGATGTACTGAAAAGAAAGCGGCCACCGAAAAGAACCAGCGCCCGGAAAAGTAAATATGCTGCACCAGAAGAAGCCGGCTCTACAACAGATAGCGCCGCACAGGCTAGAGCCGTAGGTGGGTCAACCTTGACACCGGTGACCTCAAAGACCAGTGCAAGGGCTCTTGTGGCTACCAGAGCTAAGGCTACCGGACACAATTCAGGTATAAGACAAAAAGCACTTTATTGTATAGATATATATATATCTATATTGCCCTGTTGACACAATCTCAACTTTTATTTTTTTTTCCCCTATATGAATGCCTATCTCTTCAAAACACACTACTGTATGTGACCCTATCTCCCCATATTTAATTGATACTACCATGTATGACTCCCTATCTTCTCCAAATATACCGTTATGCATCTTCCCATAATATATTGTATTAACTATACTCTCTATACTCTCATAATATACTGCCTTATGACTTTAAATTTTCCCATAACATACTGCCATGTCAAATCCTTTCTCAGCAAAATGTATTACCCTGATTTTGTCCCTGTCTCAGCAAAATATGCTACCTTGTTTCCATAACATCCCATTGCATAAAATACTGGCCTGCTTGACTCCCTACTTCCCTAGTAGAAATGAAGATGTAGAAAATCATAAAACAATGTGAATTTTTTCTTTTAGCTAAGCCAACCGGAGTTTTCCCAAAGTCTTCATTCCTGGCAAGTTTAAATCCATCTCGCTGGGGACGTTCTGGGACAAATGCATCAAACGTTAGTAATCCAAGTGGCTTGGAGAGGGCATCTAGAGAGAGCTGCCTGCAGCGAGCCAGTATGCTGGGCCTTAGCACTGTTAACCAGAGTACTAGTAATAAGGAGAATAAGGAAAAGATTAAAGTGTGGATTAAGCATCAAGGTATGTTCAAAACTTTACCTTCAATTACATGGCCGTCCCATGGCAAGACAATGCAACTTTTATTTGTTTTCTGTTAAGTTACGTTGTTTTGCCTTGGAACAGCCGTACAAAAGACATCTTGTGATTAGGTGCTCTTAACTGCTGCTCATTCTACCTCTGAAATGTCTATTCTATTCTTATTAGAATTATTTAAATACAGGCTTCAGAAATCCAATTAAGATCTTTTATTTATATTCTAAATATAATCATTGAAAAGCTTTTGTTATTATCAATGTAAGGTGTTACATAAATTAAATTATTATTTATTAATTTCTCTACATCTTTACCATCGTGGTAGTTGTTGATTCGTCAGTTAATCAAAACTGATGGTTTATAGAAAATACTAGAAACTTTGTTTCAATTTACATCAAGAACATCAGGATCAAGCTCTTCTATCATTTGTTTTACTATTAATCAGAATGGTTTTTTTTTTTTTAGCTCGTAAGTTCCTTGAAGAGCATTTTAACGATGAGACTCAAGATTCAACCCATCCTGCAATGAACGTTCTCAATAATTTGTGTGCTGCGGTTGATGCCATTTCAATGGAGGTAAGTTTGACTGCGATCTCAATAATATTGGAGCAAATCTGTAGCTTGGTGTTTTCAGAGCATTATTGCTTGGTAGGATATTGGATAGTTCCATCTTGTGATTGGTACAATAGGTATGCTTAATATTGTCTGGGAACATATGTAAATAATGTAGTGCTCTTTCATACTTTTATGCATGTGACTGAATTGGTCTACCAATTATCTGTGGTTTTCTCATTGGGCTTTAATATTAAGTGAAATAGTATCAGGTGCTTGGTAGAAGTGTCCTGATTGGTTAATAGTTTGTTGCCACAAAACCTGTCAGCCAACAACTGAGAGTGCTACATAATTTGTGGCAAAGACAAGCCAAACCAGTCACTCGTTGCAAATCTTGTTTCAGAGATAACAGCCAAAACATGCTGGAATGTCAACATTTTTTAAATCTATTTTATTGCACTAAACTAACCTTTATATATATACAGTATACATCATGCTGTGACAATATTTTCTCCATTTTTAATGTTAAAACAACAATTTCAGCAATTTGGAAATGGTTTCTTCCAGAGAAATGCCCTAAATCATAAATTTTGAAGGCTGATTTCTCAAATATTGTTCTATAAACAGCTGTATGCTTAAACTTCTCTAACTTCATAACGCAATGTCAGATTTAAATAATTCTTCTACCATTTTATAGCTCCCATTTGATAGTGAACCCTTTATTAATAACTAAAAATTGATTTTTGCGAGGAGGGACTAGTTTGGCTTGTCCTTGCCACATATAGCTGTCTGCCATCAGTGTTTTCTCAACTACAATTTAATTTATTGTTCATACGAAACCTAAATGTGTTACCATACCATCAGTATCCAGAATAGTAAGTGTGCCATACTGCTTGCAACGTAACACAATTCCTTACATTTCTTTCTCTTTGAATTGTTCTGTATTAGGACGCAGCTGACCTGAAAGCTCTGCAAGAGATCAGTACCATCCTGTGCGACTCTGACATCTCGCCTTTTGAAGTACTCCACAGCGGCCTCATCGGGAAGCTGCTCAATTACCTGACGTTCTCAAGTACTGGTATAGAAAGATCTACAAGACATTGCAGACTGCGCAGATTCCTACATGTGTTTCTAAATTGTCCGGTAAGTAGACACGTTGCCTTTAACAGCCTTCGCTTATCTTTCAAGGATTGTTTTTAGCTTCTAAAATCAATCAACTTTTCCACTAATCATCATTTTGATGATAAATTGCACAAAAACAAGAAAGTATAATACATACATACAAGTTTCAAAATGTATGCCATCATGTCAGAATTAAATATTTCGACATTAATTATGTCATCAGGAATGAAAACAGTATATAGTTTGTATCAATTTCAACCTTTGAATTTAGATGTCTGGAATCGATAGAGCTCTTCATTCCCAACTTTTTCCATAGAGAGAACACATGTATTTTCTTTGCCGCCTTCTGTACTCACTCAATTCTATAGATTTCACTTTCACTCAAATTTATAAAATAATATTTTTGATTGAGCTACAAGCCCATATTGCAGAGGCCTGTTACGTTCCAGAGATACTTAGCATGGGTCCATGCACATGCTCAAGAGGGCACATCTTCTCTTTCTCGGTGGTGTCACTTCAGCTGTCAATGCCACCATTATAACTGCCATTTTCTAATGTCTTTCTGTCTCTTTTCTTAGCCCCCAGATTCACCTGTAATGAAATCCTTGGACCTCTCTAATCCACCTCCCTACATCCAGTTGGTGAATAAAGTGAACGCATGTATTGGTCACCTTGAGCAGTTTGCGGTCAAAGTTCATGATCTACCTGGCGCAGGATCCTCAGGAAGTCGAGGATCTCAGGCTATGAAATTCTTCAATACCCATCAACTGAAGGTTTGTACTTATTAAGTAAATTTATTATGTTTAGACTTAGTGCTCAGTTTTTCAGCCTAGCATTGTTGATTAAATAATGGAAAATTGTTAAAATAACTACACACAACCCATTATGTTCCAACAAACTTCTGTATAATTAATTAATGTCTCCTAAAATAATTGTGTAATATATTGTATATAGATGTTAAGTTATTAAGTGCTATATATGATATGAGACTTTCCAAAAAGAATGAAATCTAAATGCATTAAGTTTGTTTTCAAGTGCTTGCACTCAGCAGTTTGGTAATCATCCATATTCCTTAAATAATGCTATGAATTTAGTGCTCAGTTGGATAAAATAGTACTATGCTATTGGATAAAATAGTACTATGCTGTTAATAAACCATGTTTTTCATTATTCCTTTCATAGTGCCAGCTATCCAGACACCCAGAATGCACAACACTGAGGCAATGGAGAGGAGGTCCAGTAAAGATAGATCCACTAGCACTGGTGCAAGCAATTGAAAGGTACCTGGTGGTTAGGGGCTATGGCAGGGTACGACATGTAAGTACAAAAGTAATACTGTTCTGGTTATATGCTAGACAGGATTCCAAGAGCCCAGTCACACTTAATAGTTATGTCGCCTCAGGGCGACCTTTTTTCAAGTGTGGACAATCAATAAATTTTAAGCCGGCCCAGAGCTGAACTAAATGTAGTCCAATCTTGAATGTCAGCTCAGGTCTAGCAATGCGGGACTTGGGCTGACTCATATTCATATATGAACGTAAACCGAACCTAGTCTAGGCCTAGTTCGCCAAGGTCACTTTAAAAGCGGTCAATTTGGACATCTTGTACCATAACATTTCCTGCAAAATCGGGCGAAAAGGAGGAAGTGTGAAAGTTTGCAGTGCGACCCTGAGCTGACATAAAATATTGAGTGCAAAAGGTACTGTCGTTTTCAGTCGGCCTTGGTTATAGGATCCCTGGTCCAAGAAGAATTCAAAGTCATCAATCAATCAATCAATCATGTTATTATTATTATTTAATGGCAGTAACTAAAAAGTAAGAAAGGATCGTGTTCAATTAATCCAGCAGTTAATCAGCTCATTATTTAATTAATTAGTAAATCAAAAATTATGTTGCTTCTCACGTTATTTAATATTTCTTTTTAAAGGATGATGATGACAGCGATGATGCCTCAGATGAGGACATTGATGAAACACTGGTAAGACATTAATTATTTTCATTAATTTATAAATGCATGGTTCAAAAGCACTAGCTTATTAATGAAAACAAAAATGGGACAAAACAGTATCCGCTATAGAGGCACCAAAATATGGAATGGCTTAGAACATGATATAAGAAATCTACAAAGTATTAGTTTATTTAAAAATGAAATACACAAAAAAACTACTTAACAAATACAGATAAAATTGGTAATTTTTACTTAAACTTGGTCGTAATTTTTACTTATTTTCCATTATATTTGTCATGATTTATAAATGTGTCATCTTTTATTATTAGCTTATCATTTTGTTATTATTGTTCTTTCTTTTGTAAGGGCATTAAAACTTAAAGCTTGCTTGACTTGATGCCTTTTTAATCAATCTATGAAATGAAAATTGTATAAAAAATATATGATAGGTAATTGATTAAATAAAGTTTATTGTGATGACCTTGGAATTTTAACCCAGACATTAAGGTTGAGAGGCAAAGGGCACCACTGCTGCACTAACCCTTTCTGTTGCAGTCTGATGGTCCATATTCAACACAGCTAAAACCAGACTGTTGAATTTTGTTTACTCATATTTTACTCGCTCCGCTTAGAAGTTTAAATGGGTACCTGCTAAGATGTGTTGGCTTTGAATATATTATTTCTATTTATTTATTATTTATTTATTATCTCAACAGCAAACATAAAATTCGCCACTTAATTGAGGAAGCACAAACAATAAACAGATACATAAATATTGTTAACGTGAAGATTACAAATACAAAAATATATACTAATAACAATAATAGTACTACGTTGTGGAATGATGTGAACATGTATCTACCAAGAAATGCCTCTTTACGGCTGCTAGGTAGTCATGGACTACGCCCATATGCAATTCAGCACAATGACGCTGCAAGATATGGGTTATAATAATAATAGTAATAATATCAAATTAAGTGGGCCTAATATGTAAAATGTTTCTAACACTGTTACAGAACATAGAGAGATTATCACTAATATCTTGAATCTTTAAAACAAGAGAATTATAAGCTAAGCTTAATCTACTAATAAAACCATTTTTAAGCACATATACTCTATTAATTAAAGGAAATATGAAAAGTAGGACTATTTCTAAGACAACGACTGGGGACTCTTTAAGACTAAAATTACTAACCAAGTCGCATTTGAAAATAGAATAAACACATTTGTATAAAAAAACAAGATAAAAAAACTGATGTAATCGATGAATACGTGAAACCTGGGTTTTGAAAATAGAATTATATACAACTGAAGAAAAATCTAAATTTTGGCGAATAATACTGAAATAGAGATGAAGTTAAGTTTGGCTCAAAGCTGATGTGGTGCAATTGCACATCAGCCCAAGCAATCTATTGCACTTGTCAACAAGATGACCAAATATACAACTATCTTCATGTGAATGTACCCATTTATGAGATTCCATTTATTAAATAATTGTGCTTTAAAATATTCTTTTTTAACGAAATAGATAATATATTGCACTTTACATGTTTAAGGGACATAACCCCAAGTTGACACCGAACAACTTAATCTATTGAGCACAGCATTACAGCAAGGTGTCCTCCCCTATTGAGGGGAGGAGGTTACACTTTGTACCAGCTTAATCCATTAACCAGCTGTAATAATTAAATTGCCAGCTCCCAAAATGCATAGTGTAAATTCCTATATTTTTCATCATCTATTGGTAATTTGCAGGCCGGTGCTTTCTCTAGCAGTAACATTAATATACAGCATAAGTTACAGTTTATGATTGGTGATCATGTACTGCATTATGGAATGACAGTCTACCAGGCAATCAGACAGTATGCATCAATGGCCGAGGACAGCACAGATACCGAAGACGAGAGCCACCCATTGGGACGAGCAGGCATATGGGCCAAAACGCATGTTATATGGTAAGTTGTATTCTGTCAACACTGTTGGTGTTTTAGTATCAGTTCCCAATAATCTTGGTACCACTTACATCCTAATGCTACCTAAAATTTATTAAAAAGATTTTTTCTCTATCCTATGAATGGATATTCTAATGGATTTTTAGTAATTTATTCTTTGCATTTCACCATTCAGGTACAAACCTTACAATGAAGACAAGGTATCATCATCTGACACAGTTTCCACAGCAACAGCCACATCATCTAAGAAGAGTTCCTCATCAACAAATAGTAAGAGAGCAAGTAAATCAAAAAAACACGACGAATTATGGCACGGTGGGTAACCACTTCAAAATGTGTTGTTACAGCTAACTTAATTGTGCATCTTGCATCTTGGTTTTTGTGTACCTGGTTGGTAAATTCCCTCCTACATTCTGTGAGGTTCTTTACATATTATTACACAACATTTTGTGATACTGTATATGTTTGTGGATTTTGTGATATCCATTTGAAAGTTTCTGGGTGCTTTATTTGTAAATTTTACATTCCACATTATTCCATTGCATCTAGCATACATTTTTGGGTTAATTGACATGATGGGTATATGGTACTTCATATAAGCCTTGCTTTTCTGTGTCAGTTCATACTTTCTAATTTAACTTCTTTTATTTATTTGCTTATATTGTACAGTAGTATTTATTTTTGATACTCAAAACAATCCATTTTCTTTTTTGCTTAGAAATTGAATTAATAAATTACTAATTATTTATCCCTTCAGAAGGCATAGTTCCTGTTGGAAAGTCACCTCTTGATTTGCAGTTACTTCCGTTACTTCCACTTGGAGTCAACCTTAAGGATCCTTCTACCGAGTCCATAGCCTTGCTTTGCGTTCTTCATGTTCTTAATCGTAACTGGCATTGGCTTTATGATGTAAGTTGGAAGTTTTTGGTATAAGTTTTTGCATAAGAGGCATTGGGGTTGCCTTGGTGAATGTGGGTGTGTGTGTGTGTGTCTCACACTCAATTGTAAATAAGCAAAATAAAAAAAATGTACACACATTGTTTATGAATTTTGGTGTTTAGTTAATTTTTAGCATTTTATTGAATCTAATTTTTGCAATTTCATTTTTTAATTAGTATTAAAGATTATTAATCCCACCACCCCTTCCCTTTCCTCCTTCTTGAGGATGGATTGGTCAATTCTTCAGAAGACAATCTCCTCCAGTTCGTAAAGAGTGTGTTCTTTAACATGCATATGGACTGAATTTCACAAAGGACCATGGCTTTTTAAGCACCATGGGTACTATATTAATCCTTAAAATAAAAATATCTTCTGAAATTTGTAATGGAAATTGCATTACCACTTCTAATTAAAACACTATGGATGTAGCGATTGGAATTGAACCATGAAACAAAGGTGTAAGGTTCTCCATGGTTCAGCGCACACACAGTGTCTACCACAAGATTATCTGACTGAGCTAAGCTGTTGTCTATAAAATTCTCTCTGTTGCTGTCTACTAAGCCTAAACAAGCTTAGTCATATTCTTAATTAACCAATGTATTTATTGCTTGCAGGGTGCTGTGCCAAAGTATGCCTTGTCTTCTAATGAGTTCATAAGTAGTAAGTTAACAGCCAAAGCTACAAGACAACTACAGGATCCTCTGGTAATAATGACAGGCAACCTGCCCTCTTGGCTCACATCCCTCTCCAAAGCATGGTAAGTGGCCAATATAAAATTATTTATTATGTGTCTTTTTTAAACTATGTGAAGCTTTTGTTTAGTGGTCAACACATTGGCTGCCATGTCTTTTTCCATAGTTGTTCTCCATTTTCTACCATGAACATCATTCCAGTCAATCTTAATGAAACAAGAAAATATTTAGTATCCAGACAGGCAGCATGTTATAGTGCTTGCCTTCCAGTATCTTATGTTCTGGGTATAAATCCCAGAAATGCTTTATAAAGAAATTTATTTGTGAAAGTGAGTTTATTGAACATCAGTTCTGGGTATAAATCCCCATACTTTATAAAGAAATTTATTTGTGAAAGTAAGTTTATTGAACATCTTTATTACTCGAAACAAATTAACTTTGTCAAATTCAACATTGATGATAACTGTATAATCCATCCGTCATTCTGTTTTCAGCCCGTTTCTATTTCCGTTTGACACACGTCAGCTGCTATTCTATGTCACAGTATTTGATCGAGATCGTGCAATGCAACGACTACAAGAGAACAACCCTGAAATGAACACGTCTGACTCCAGTGAACGGGTTGCTCCGCGTCTTGATAGGAAAAAGGTATAATTTCTAGTGTCTAGTACCTTGATATGCAGCTGTTACAGCATGGTTAATGGGTCTAAGCCAGCATTACTGAGTTGCCTAGGCACCAACATTTTATCATATGCATTGACAGCTTAGGCTCGTTTCCATCCACCCTTATATTCCCCTGACTGTTAAAGATGTGTTACTATGACTGTACTTGATGTGGCTGAACATATTGATATATATAAACATTGAGATTAACATATCTGGCATTTTTAGTTTCTATGCATGTAATGCAATAGGAACCATTGTAATCACTCTTGCTATTTCCTATGTTTTTTATTGTGTGTAGTGTGTGTGTGTAGACATTTATGCAAATGCGCATGCGTCAAAGAAAAGTTTTCCGACATTTTGTTTTACATCGCGATGCGAAGATCGATGTGAAGTTTCTGCAGAGTTCAATCAGGGCTCACGCTAACCGACCGGAATGTCGGCATGGATAAAACTATTTTGGTTTTACGGCAAAAAAATCATCTGCTGTAGGCATAGGTATTTTGAAGAAGGCCTAAAATAAAACTAAAATGTTTTAATACTTGCTGAAATACATCGTTTCTTCATTTAGATCTCCATTTTTCACTTAGTCCATGCGACGTTTGTTTCTGTTGTATACGTATGAGTAGTCATATAAAGGTACTATATCCCCGACAGTTGGCTGTGCAGCAATGTACCCTTTGAATGCAAACTGAAAACAGGTGAAAATATAAAGGCAGCCGACTGTCGGGTACATAACGACTAAAAAAAAAAAATAATAATAATTAATAATTTAATAAATTTAAAATCATAAATCTAAATCAAACTTGGAGAAAGTTTTGGATGGTCCACAATGTCTTGAAAAACTCTGCGCCTGCACTAATAATATACTCAGATGTGAGGTTCTGTGCATTAAGCCATACAGATACAGATACTACAGTACCTACAGTAGATAGTAAAACCTGTAATTTATAAATTGACCTAGGTAGGCCTAGGTATGTAGGGCCATTGAGCCCCTCTAGGCCTAGTCTTGAGTCTTACTTACTTTGTAAACTTATGCTAGGCCTAGGGCCTAAGCCCCTAGCCCCAGTATTTAGCTAGGCTACTAGGCTGTAAATTTAGGCTTTCGCTTTAAATAGAGCCTATATCCTCCGCGTAAAAGTTAGGTCAAGAAATCTGTCTGCGCATTTGGGAAAATAAGGGCCGATTTCTGCTCAGATTTTGCTGAAAATTTGGCTTTGACCTATTAATCTTAATATTTAACCAATGTATTATGCAGTATTTACTATTCTGCGCACCTATTTTTCTGTTTTTGTACTCAAATTTAATCCAGTTTTTGCGGTATCATCCACGCAATTAAAATACTACTAATTGTGTGGGGAATGCGTACCTATACTTCAGGCCTGGCCTACTGTACTGTATTTAAAATGTTATTACTATCTGGCATTTTTATCTATAAGTGTTTCTGTACTGTGAAATATTAGAGATCGGACACAGCAGCCTTGATGAGCTACTGTTTCTATTCCGCATTGTTAGTCTCATCATTATTAATATAACCCTTTCATTAAACAAATTATACAATATTCCATAACAGAGAACTGTCTGTAGAGGAGATCTACTTAAGCAAGCTGAGACTGTAATGGATGACTTAGCAAGTTCTCGTGCTGTACTGGAAGTTCAATACGAGAATGAAGTTGGTACTGGTCTAGGCCCAACCTTGGAGTTCTATGCATTAGTCTCTCAGGAGATCCAGCGTGCTGAGTTGGAGCTGTGGCGAGGAGAAGCAGTTCCTCTGATTGATCCAAAAGGTGAATATATAGGCCTGGGAAAACTCAACAATATGCTTCATACATTGTATTTATTTTTTAATGGAGTGGAATTGAATAACTTAGTGGTTATAGGTCTTGCCTTCTAATCCCAGATTCCTTGGTTCAGTTCTTTTCACAGCAGGACTATTTCTCGCATGTAATACCAACTCACTTCCTAGGACTCAATAGGAATCACTTTTGATTAAGACAAAAATCAAAACAATGGAGTTAAACCAGTAACGTAACCTCACTGTTTGTTGTTGTATTCATTCACGTGATGGAAACATGATCATTGAATTATTTGACACTTATGATTCCTTTTGTCCGTTAGGTTCACAAGCTGGAGTTAAGTATGTGTTTTCATCAGTCGGATTGTTCCCGGCACCCCTAGGAAGGAATGCTAAAATGGCAGCTGTTTCAAAGATTAAGGCAAAATTCAGATTCTTAGGGAAATTTATGGCAAAGGCACTTATGGATTCTAGAATAGTAAGTTATTTTCACCAATAACAGTAGTCACCAATAATAATATGTTTGTCCATACATCCAGAAACTAGATGAATATATTTGAGTTAATATGATTGTCACCATTATTAATAATGTCACCATTATTAAGATTGTCACCTTTCATTATCAATTTTTTTTCTCTTTTCTATATGTACTTTGATCATCATATGACTGGTATACAGAATTTGTCATAGCATCACCTGTCAATATTATTTAAACCCATTAAAGTTATTTTCCTTAATATAATAATTATTTTCAAATTAATATATAAAATTCATTTCTACATTTATGCAGTCAACACAAAGCAGTAATTTAACATTTATATACTAGTGAAAATGTCAATATTTCTAAATTTGTTTTAAATGTTGAAATATTTTTTTTCAAAATTTTTTCAAAAGAAATATTAAAAGAATGTTCTGTCTTAAATTCTATAGCTTGACATTCCCTTGAGTCTGCCATTCTACAAGTGGGTACTAGGTCAAGAAGGTTCATTGACCCCTGCTGACCTGCATTATGTTGACCCAGTATTAGCACGATCATATGACCAGCTGCATGACCTGCTGAGGCAGAAGAAAAGGCTACATCAAGATCAGAGTCAGACAGCTACCAGCCTACAACTAGCCCTTGAGAGTCTCACAATGGATGGCTGCTCAGTAGAAGATCTTGGCCTAGATTTTACCTTACCTGGACACCCAACAATTGAACTGAAGAAAGGGGGAAAAGATATATGTGTCACTGTTCACAACCTAGAAGAATATTTGAAGGTAGGAATTGTTCTTTGTGACTTTAAATACTGGGCCAAAATGAATTTGCTTTTGTTATATATTATTTGTAATCACTAGATTTTTTTGTTTTAATGTAGAAGCAGATGTAGTCCATTCTGAAGTTGACCTAATTTTGCTCTTAATTTTTACAGCTTGTAGCTCACTGGACATTAGTAGAAGGTGTAAGTCGTCAGTTTGAGGCGTTCCGTGAAGGCTTCCAGTCAGTCTTCCCCTTGGAGCATTTACAGAGCTTTTATCCGGAAGAGGTATGATACAAGGCCACAACACACAGTCAATCAGTCTTCAGATGTACCATATGCCATTCAATCTGTTTATCAACATAGTGCTTGCAATGCCAAAACAAGCCTCAGTGACAAAAACATGGATGTTTACTTTTTAATATATTCTTATGCTTCTCTCCATCTCCCTTTTCATCTGTCTCCCTCTGTCTTTTTAATATATTCTTATGCTTCTCTCCATCTCCCTGTTCATCTGTGTTTCCCTCTGTCTGTCCACGTGTATAAAAACCACACTTCTCAAACTCATAATAAAATTATTAATTTGTTGAGTACCTTACCCATGGATTTTAGAACATTGGTTACCATTTTACAAACCAGAATGGTTTATCACTCTAACCATTTGTTCTTACCTGTATTACCATTACCATGAGCATTATATAAAAAAATTACTTCTTTTCCAATTTCAGCTTGATCAGTTATTTTGTGGAAGTACTAGTGAGTGCTGGGATATTAAGACATTGATTGAATGTTGTAAACCTGACCATGGTTACACACATGATAGGTAATGTCAAAGGTTATAACTTTCAGAGTGATCATGTTGATTTCCAAGTTAAAAAGTACTCGTCCTTAATAACGAAAATAAATGTATACAATTATCAAATGTTATAATTTTTCAACATAATCACACATTTGACAGCTGATGTCAATGGTCATTCACAAATGCAATGATAGATGAATCTCTTGTAAAAAATAGGATTAAACTAAAATAATAAATTTAAAATATACCTATATATTTATATTATTATCTGTCACACTATAAAATATTGTTGAATGTGGTTATGAATGAAATTTTTACCCTGCTGAAAGAAATCTAAGTTTAATGAAACTTTTCTGTTTATGTTTTTAGCCGAGCTGTGAAAAACCTGTTTGAGATTTTAGTATCTTACAATGGCGAAGAACAGAGACAGTTTTTGCAGTTTGTTACAGGAAGCCCTAAGTTACCGGTTGGAGGTAAGTTTAAAATCTGATTTTAGGTAAATTATTCTGTTTTGTTTTCATACATACATGTAATTCCAGGATTTTGGGTTCTTGTTCTACAAATGGCCTAGTTAATAATGTTTGTAAAATCTGGGATCTATATTAAAAGAAATTTGTTTTATTAATAATATGAAGCATGATGGCATTAAGGCCTTTATGCATTGTTAGGCCTGCAAAAAGTTTTATAATGATAATTACCTTATGTAGGGCACCTTGTGTATATGTTCAAAGAGTTAGGCACAGTTTGTATACATGGTTTTGTCTTCGACACTATTTTTTGTGTCAAATATTCAATAAATAATTATGTGGATTGCTAACTATGAGTAGGCAGGGATATATTCCAGTATTGCCCTCCTTGGCACATGTGCATAAATAAATTTTGAAAATATAACCTTTCCCACTTTTTGAGAACTTTGGTTATTCCTCCTTCAACAGGTTTCAAGGCGCTAAGTCCACCATTGACTGTTGTTCGTAAAACATTTGAAACATCTGAAAACCCAGATGACTTTCTACCGTCAGTTATGACATGTGTCAACTACTTAAAGCTACCGGATTACTCGAACAAGGAATTCATGCAACTGAAGCTGTCAGTAGCTGCCAAAGAAGGACAACAATCCTTCCACTTATCTTAAACACCTTGTGCTGAACCTGTCAATCAATCAGTCAATTAACACCTTTCGACTTCATGGATATATTACGGATGACATTTACGCTCGTCTACAAATTGGAAAAGTTTAGTTTTATTTCATCAACCAAAAGCAATCTACAAATGCGAGTATTGTAGGAGTCTGTAAACAGATCACTACATTGAGACTACGAAAAAATACTTTGTTTTCTCGAATCTACATCATGTTGGTGCTTGGAAGTTTTATCGGTGACTTAACATTCGTCATGTATTGTTGGTAGGTTGTCTTGTAAACGTGTTTGTCATTTTACCTCTGGCTTCAACATGGCCATGGTGCATATTGAACTATTAAGGAATCAATCCAGCTTTGGATAAATTAATACTTGGTGGTTTGAAATTTATCAACTTTGCCTGTGGTATATCCAACCAATTGCAAGGCCAGCATAGATTTCTGCTTGATCGATGGTCCATGCAGGATGGTCATAGTCAGTTATTTGATCTGAATTTTAACAAAAATGTCAGTGCATAAATTGCAAAAGCATATTAGATAATAGAGTACATAGCCAGCAGAATTGTGGAGTATATCGTAGACAATAGAACATATTGACTATGTTTAGAAGACATTATTTCAAATTGTCTCCCTAATTGTGCGCATTGCAAGACAATATCCCATTATCTGATTCATCGTTTAAGCCTGTATTTGCATTCTTGCACAAAATCTGATATTTAAGATTGGAATATTCTTGAGGCACCAGGAGACATTTTGTATTTAATTTTTTACCTTAACACACAATGTCTTTTACATATTATATAACCACTGCATTCAAATTAATGTCAGGAATTTTTGCTCTGGATTTTTGCATTATTCATCAGTTAATATTAGTGATGGATATGTGATCGTGAACATTTGTGTCTGCTGGACGTAGTATAATGCAAATCAGTTGTCAATATTTATGATTTGTAACTAACACTAAGACAATTCAAACTTGAGTAATATTTTGATTGTGTTCAACTTCCATAGAAGTTGTCTTTAATTTTTCCGAACATCTGTAAATAGGCAAAATCTAATAAATGTTAATAATATTCATGTAATTTTTGCCTTTACTTTGAATGTTATGTAGCTCATTCAGTTGTAATTAAAATATGATTTGCATTTAATCAAAGGATATCAGTGTATTTGTCATCCTATTTATAATGATATTAAATGTTGATATCAAAATTATATTAGAATTTGTAAAGTGTTTTGTAGAATGGTTAAAAAGGAGCACAAATGTGTTTATACTACTATAGTGGCAGATCCCAATTGGGCTTGGGTAAAGTAGATTCTATCCCCTTCACTCTTTTTTTTTTTTTTTTAATATCGTAAATGGTTACTGGCACATGCTGTGTCATGTGCCTTTACAAAAATTCCAGAATTGTTCGACCACACACTATTTTCAGAATACTTATGAATACTGTCACAAAGCAAGTGTCCTTTAGATTAAATATTGTGCTATTTTTTAACCCCCTCCTACATATCTACCCACAACCATACACCATTTGTCAGTTTTCCCATGTTGACCCTATTCAATAATTTAAACAATAATGCATTATTGACCAAATGTATCACTGGTTTACACTATTGATTAGCAACAATTGACAACTGTAACATTTTATTTATGGTAATGTAAAAAAAAGGGGGGCTTTCAAAATGTCACATTTTGTAATAAGAAACTACAAAAACATTCTGGAATAATATGTCAAATGATTGCTTGTTTGTTGGTACCAATACCCATTTGTAATGTGATGAGTGCTGGTGTTTATTTTACCTGGACATAGTACAGTAATTTACCTTTTGGTGAGGGCTCTGTATCCCAACAACCAGGTTATCATAAACTTGGAATAGTGCTGTATACATATAAGCCTATTTTCAAAAGCAGCATGCAGACAGTAAAAAGATTTTAGTGGGCAGTACAATCCATTTACACGGTGTGCAACAACAAGGTTTGTTTTGCTCTTGCATGCTTAGTAGGAGATAACTGAAGTTACTGATTGGTCAAAATATTGTCTGTCATGTAACATTTATTTTCTGGAAATATCAATGGAACAATATTAAGCGGCATTTCGCTTAGACAAGCTAATGTTCAGTGTGGATCAACAAAGCAATATTTTATAATATTTTTTTTCTGTTGCAGGCACATGTTATTGCTGTCTGTGTAAATAGGCCTTCCGAATTCACAGATTTCCATATTTATCAATAAAGTGAACAAGTTCTGTTATATGTAATGATAAAGCGCCCTCTTGTGGTAAAGTGCTTTCAGTTTCATACATCTTGCATGGTGGCCACTGAATTAGAATTCTGATATATAGTATGTACCTAATGTGATATTCAAGTGTTTGTATGTTTGAGCTATGTATTAAAATAATGTGGTCAACAGTTTTGTTTCAAAGTTAACAGGAACATTTAGAAGGTAACAGTAACAAGAGATAGAAGTCAACAGCCTGCCTTAAAATTTTCTCCAGAAACTACAAATGCTTTTGAATGTTATTCATGTATGTCATATTATCATAAAGTTATTAACACCGTTTTATTTCAAGAATGTATAGACGATGTAGTGATAGTACTTCAGAGGCTAGTTGATATGTGTGGTTTCCTCGTTGTTTTGTTTTTGAGAAGTGTTAAATTACGGACAACATAGTACCACAGATTCAATTAATACCATTAACAAGTGTTAAAGCCCTTTGTATATAAATGGCCAGCACCAGAAAGTATATTTATTGTTATTGGCAGATTATCTTTCTTTGTGACAATTAGAAGTATATAGCATCTATAATACAAAAAGAAACAATTTGTTATATTCTTAGAAAATGTAAGAACATTAGTTTAATGTATGGAGGTACTGTGTAACAAGCAGAGTACATACTGTGTTACATTTTGGTTGGGTCGTCGCACTTAAGAAGCTGCTTATTAAGTTCGAACATTTTTTTTTTTTCTGTTAATGTGTAATGACGTTGCTTCAGTTGTTAATAAAAAGTCTACCACCATGGTGGAAGAACAACCAAATTTTGGTGTGTCACATTTATTTCCTACGTTTCTATGCAGTGTTGGATCCAGAGGGAAAGGGGGAGGGGGTGGGGGAAAATAGATGAACATCCCTTCCCTTGTGTTTCTTTTAAGACTAAACATTTTTTTTTTTCAACTTTGTTTATCGAGTGTGATAAAAACATTGAGTTCATAAAATTGCAACAATCACAAAAGATATTAAATAAAAGAACTATAAAATGTAAAAGTATATGGATTATCAATGAATAATTTATGTACAGAAAAAAAAAAACATTGCAATAAAATGTAAGATTAATAAAAATATAAAATCTATAAAAATATTTTGTTTATTGCATTAAATAGTTATTTAAAAAAAATATATTTTGTGTATCAAAAATAAAAAATCCAAACAGTAATTACAACAGAAGAAATGCAATAACAGTAAATTTTAAAAAGTGTCTGGTGGGATTTGAACCTGCAACCTCTTACTATCAAGGCAACTGTCATACTCATTGGATCACGAAAACCCATAGGGTATAGGTGCAGAAATATTCCAGTGGCGTAACGCCCATGCGCTCCAAAGGGTCCCCTACACATTGGGTCCTCGATCTAGCACCTGACCTAAAAGAGCTTCGTTGATATATAACAGCATAATATGTCAGACATCGACTGTAGGACACATAAATTTGTAAAAAAAAAAGTTATTTAGAGTTGCCATAATCATAATTTTCTGACCTCAGCCCCAACCATAGTGGGGCTGAAATGGTACAAACCCTGCATCTGTGAAAGTCCCTCCGCCCCCCCCCTCCGCGCCCCCCCCCTCCCCATTTCAAATTCCTGGATCCACCACTCATACTGTATTATCATTTAGAATACAATCACAAAAATTATTAAAAACGGGAACATCTAAAATCCCACAATATTATTGACAACTGTGGCTCAGAAAGCCATAAGTTCCCCGACACGGGCATTATAACCCCTCATACATACAACTGACTTGAACGCTCACATAGTGAAGCTGTGGTTAAAGCTCGGTTTCCTTCGAATCGCTCACCCTATCGCCGATAGTTGTCGGGAAGGTTGAACCTGGTTCAACTTCGCCGACTGCGTTGCAGAGACTGCTCTTACTTTACAATTACTTTACTACGTACCTACTGTACTGTAATCTGATCTAGACCTCTGATTATCCGTCAAACATAAGTGAGAATAAATATATAGGGTTAAACTATTAAAACGCACAATAAGAATATTAAATTGTCTCTAATTAATTCATTCTGAACCTTTATTTAAGAAACGTAATCTCTTAAAATTTGTTATACTCACACAGTCCAAATTGCCTCATTCATGTACCAATATGACGAAAAAACTTTGCCCAACCATGTTTGTTCTATTTAGGAAAGGTCATAATCCTCATAAAAGAATACTAATGAAAATTTAATAGGCCTGGGCCTATTCCTTTTACTCGTCTACGAAATTTTTACTTTTTCCTAACAACCATAAAAAATAAAAAACTTCATTTACATACCATTATATTCATGTGCGCCATAATAGTAGGTCTTTTATTATTATTCCACATTATTGTTAATTTCTAAAAATATATTACCGTAAGTGAAATAAATTGCATTTTGCACGACGGAACAGGATCAGGGCCAAGAATGCGCGCATTACCTAGAAACGCACACTTTCGTCATTTTATGTGCCTAGCGGAAAGGTATAACTTAGTGGACCTATTCCATCACATGCCATCTTCATTGACTTGATTATGTAAAGGCTGAAATATTAGTGATTATATTGTTCCTATGGTTCATTGTGCAATGTCAGGCACAACATTTTATTAACTGGTAGGCCCTAGGCCTAAAATTATTTTACTGGATAATTAAGTGCACTGAGTATCATCCCGTAGCCGAGCTATGGGACAGTCGGGGCATGAGATTTCACTCTATTCAGTAATTTTTCACTATTTTAAGAATAATATTCACTCATTTAAGAGTGAATTTTACCGTCTAGAAAGAGTGAAATTGGAGTGGTCCGTGGCACTCTTTTCGAGTGAATATTCACTCTTTTACAGAGAGTAGAAGAATTAGTAAAACTCAATGAAAATGACGATGATATCGAATTTGCACTTGTGTGTTTGCAAACACATAAAATGTAGGTCTTTTCAGAACAAACATTTTTTCAGCATGTGTGACAAACGGAGTTGGCTATAACAAAAATCTTGATTAAATATAATTATATGATTTGTCGAAAATGTAAATAATTAAGTATTTAAACTTTATTATGGGCTAGTGCCTATATTTAATGCATTGGCCTTCACGGCCCCAAACCAGATGTTTCGGTAGGTACTACCATCATCAGTGAAAACATTGATGTCGAAATATTGAATCCCAGCACGATTGTACTATCATATTCTTTATTTGGAAGCTACACTTTTACAACAGTGGCACACGTGGAAAACGGTGCGTCCAAGAAAAATATAAGAAAACAAACAAAATCAAAACAAAGATCAAAAGTAAAAGTAAATGCATGTAAGCAGCGAAATTAAATAAAATACAAAAAGAATACATCAAATCATACGCAGTCAATCAGAAATGCAACAGCAAAGGAAGAACAGTACAATTTAAAAGAGTGGTGAAATATATTATACACGGGAACGTTCGACGTCTCTTTTTTTCTATAATAAAATTCTTGCACTACGCCCTCTATAGTACTACAGCACGCCTTTTGGGTGGTCTGCTAGCATGGCTAGCAGTAAACTTTCGCATCATTTACGGTGAAAAATAGTACTTTTTAGGTATTAGTTATTAAATTAAAACTATATTAAAAGTTTTCATTTATATGTATTATATTATATAAATATTTTACCTGTTTTTTTTAAAGATTATATTCAATTATAATTTAGTATGAATCGTACTAATATGAGTTGTTTTCGATGAACTGATGAAAGTTTCTTATGATCAAAATAGCCTTACCGTAAAGAGTTTTCAAAATGACTAAATATGCTGCCCTCTATGTTCTAAAAGAACAGAAAAGCTTTGTTGCCTACAGGACCACACACATGGCTGTGTTTATATCGATGAGGTGGTCTACTGTTATACGTTGGTGGTGGGAGAGAAAGGTACAAGGAATCCTAACTGTTAATCAACCATGCCGTCAAACATGGAAATAAAAACAAATCTAAGGTAAAGGTATGGATTTATAAGTTTCTTTATATTAGATATATGTTATTTTCTAGGTAATAAATAACTGATGAGTAAACTCGGATCTCCAGTACATACAGTGGTAGTAGCAACGAGCGGAGCAGGTCAGGGAGGATGAAGCGCAACTCATCATACAAACAACCAGTAGGCCTAGCCATACTGCAACTAGAAGAACTAGGCCTAGGCTACAATATTATGTTATTTGAAAATACTCTATTTTTTATATTTCGATTAGAAAACAGAATATACAAAAAAATTACAAACGCAATTTAGATGATTGTATGTGTTTTGATGGTCTTGTTTTTATATTTTTGTACTTTACAATATATTTTTTGTAATCAAAGAAAATGATTTTCCTTACTTTGTATTGATTTCATAAATTATTGCTGAAATAGCAATGTTTATCTGTTGTGGCACTATAAGTGGTACTAGTCAGAACTGACAACAAAACTTCAAAAAAATAAAAATAAATGTATAAAACACAATATTATAAATTAAACATCCAATGCTGGTCAACGTATTGTAAATTAAAATATTTACCATACAAATGTTTAATATATTAAACATTGTAATGCCCATGAGAAGATATTAGTTTCTTGTACTGTATTGCATTCGCAATTCAGCTTATGGGAAATCTCAGGCAGCTAGCCGCGGGTCTTCGGTGACCCAGCCCAAATTTCCCAGTGTGTAGGCATACATACGACGACAAAATAAAGAATTATTACAATAGGATTCGGATACTCTCCCCACCAACAAAACCAGAACACCTTGATGTCACTTTGATTGACAGTCTTTTTTGGAATGTTATTTTCTCTGGCAATAAAAATTCCAGAAAGTTTTTGAATCGGAGCATGAAGCTTCTGGCTGAAATTTAAATATGTGACACTGTATGCCACTTCCAATCTGCAATTATTTTATTTATTAAAGTATTCAATGCAAACTATACACTTTCCAGTGTGACCCAGGATGACTTTTTTAGCTCCGATGAGGAGCTCTAGAAACACTCCTGATTGATTAATAGATCTTTTGTAGATCTACTCCTTCTTTTATACTGCCCTCTTGAGGTTGATTAATTAATAGTTAGTTTTCCTGATAATAGTTAATTGATTAATAAATCTTTTTTAGCTCAACCGCCTCTATTATGCTGCCCTCATCATAGCTTTCGAGATTACAAGAACTTGTATAATTATCACTCAAAACTATTTTCTGCCACAGATAAGAAGGAAGACAAACACAATGGATGATTCAGAAGTAACTCAAAACCATTCAGCCGTCAATTCAACATCGTCTACCATGGCCATCATAGAATCGTCCGTCCTCAGTGCTTTGCTTCTTTGCATCCTATTTCTGAACGCTCTCCTGTCTTATGTCCTTTATCAGAAATCTCACCTTTATACACCTAGCAACCGTTTTGTCTTTAGTTTGACGCTGGCAAATGTTGTCTTCTGTATGTTGTCATTACCGTTCAATATTGTCAGTTGCGTGATGGATAAGTGGATATTTGGGGTGATGTGGTGTAATGTCACTGGGTTTATCACCCTGTGTGTGCTCACAGGTGGAATATACACAGTTGCCTGTATAAGTATTGATAGGTTTGTTAAAATTTGGTTTTTTTATTAACACAATAAACAAAACTAGGAACCATATCCCATTCTCAAGTATTTTAAGATTCAAAGTAGTTTGGGCACAACTTTTGTAGATCCTCTAAGTGATGATGTTAGCTAATCTTATCTATTTTGTGAGTGAAAACTAAATAAAAAGTAATAGTGCTCAATAGTAGAATAATATTAGATTATTAATAATAATAATTCTGTTTTTTGTCCTCATTCAATATGAAAAATTTGGAAATTTGTGCTGGGGACCCACAGCAACCTGGGTGCAGCACTACCCGACTTAACTACAACATGTAAAGGATACATGGATACAAACATGTTCTTTATCTCACCTAACTCTCAATGTGAGGGTTATTCAAAGCAGAGCCGAACCAATTAAGACGCCAGGGCTAGCCGGGTTTGAACAGGGGTTGTCAGCACAAGAAGCAGGAACAATACTTCTCGGCCAACCACTAATAAGTGTTGATGTGATGTTTATCTGAACATCATATTTAATCAGTCAATTATGTTTAAAAAATATATATCCAGTCTAAACCTTTAAAGTCTAATTCATTTTCACATTTTTCTCTTTGTGTAGGTATTATGCAATAGTGAAACCGATGCTGTATCCATTTAAGATAACAAGTACACGGACAGTAGAACTTATATGCTGCAGTTGGGTTCTTGCCATTCTCCTGACAATCCCACCTTTTTTCGGCTGGTCACGTTTCGTCTTCCATAAATCAAAACTCGGCTGTATGGTAGACTGGCGCCACCATCGCTCATATGCTGCAGTTTACGTCATCGTCGGTGCAGTCTTTCCAACAGCTGTTATCATAGTGTGCTACCATCATATTTTCAAAGCTGCTCGTATTTCAAGTCGCAGAGTCAGCAACGGAAACATTGTTGAAACAGGATCACGGCCTAGACGGCGGTCACGTCGTGCATCGCTGCTAGTCAGCATACGAATGAATTCTCCAACAAAAGCTCTACGAACAATTTTACTAACTTTAATAATAACTTTTATATTTTGGCTTCCATTTGTATTTAACGGTTTAATTGAAATTGCTTACAAATCCATAGAAATACCAGTATTTATCCATTCAGTAATTGTTATTTTGTTATGCTGCACGTTTCTTGTGCAGCCATGTATCTACGGACTTTGGAATAAGACAATTAGGAGACAGATTAAATCGGTAATATTCGGTACTTCCATTTCGTTTGATGGGGAAGATGAGAGAATGTTTTATCAGAGGAGACAATCACGTGGGGCAAGTATAACAGGAAGTATAACAGATCTTAGTTACACAGCGTTGCTGCAGTCAAGACCAGGTGTTGCTACAATCAGTGGATGCAGTGTTCACCAATCAAGTAATGACTCCGGTAAGTAATGTTTTCTTTTTATCTTATGTTTTTTCATAACGCACTCAAACTAGGCAGTCAAATTGTAGAGACCTGTGAGAATTCAGTAGAGCAGTCATCTATACTCCCTACATAAAATTTATCTACTGTATTCTCCACAATTAACAATACCTAAATATTATCAGCTGTTTATTCCAGCGCATGTCAACCTCATATTCTGTGCTATCCGTCAGTTCAATATTAAGTTGTATATTAATATTTGAATGTGGAGTGAGAAAAATTGTTCTCGTCAGCTGCCTGTTGTTTAATTAATAACAGTCCTACAGTCTCTTACATTTCTGCCACCAAATTTAAGGATTTTCATAATTAAAGGATTTTTGTAATAGACTGTCTGCAAATTATTGAAAGTTATTTTGATCTTCTAATTTCAAATGCTGAAAACTCATAATGTGGTTCTTGTAATTTTGAGCAAATCAAAGTTTTTTCAAATGGCAATACAGTATACACATTTGGTAGTTAAATAAACATTTTTTTTAATGCTTTTTCATTCCAGGTGCTGTATTAGCCTGTATACAAGAAGCAGACGATTCAGATAAATCACTTAACAACAGTCTCAATACCAGCAAGACTCCCACACTAACTCATTCCACAAAGATAATGAAACAAGACCACTCAACCTCCTGGAAAAAAGATCTCAGTGCAAGGCATCATCCAGGTGTCCAGACAGGTGCACGGCAGCATCCAAGGTTACATCATGTAGATGCCAATAGTGTAGATGAAGGCATTGATGATATTCTTGAAACTGTAAACCTTGATGATTGACCAATCAGATTCTGACTTTAATTGTCCATCCTAGATATTGAACAATCAGATTGATTCTATCAATTGCTAATGATTTATCCAATTAAATTTTCTATTCATCTCAAAAGTAGTAATAATAGTAGTAGCAATTTGACTAGTGATGTACGACTGTTTATCAGATTATTTAAAAATAATTTTAACAATTGCATTATTAATTTAAATCTAGTAAAGTAAAGGATAATAAAACGATTGAAATTTGTCATTTAGGATATAGAGGAACAAAAAAGTATTATTTCTGTGCCTAGTGACATGTAGGTTTCCCTCTAATTACAGAATACTCCAATTAATGAATGTCTTTTATCTTTACTATTCTAATTGCAGACCAAAGCTGCTAAAGACTATGGAAATCCTGGTTTCAAAAGTTATCTTAAAGTCAGGCTCCAGAGGAAAACAAATTTTTGATATGTTGTAGAACTGATTTTTCTAAGACAGAAAAAAGTTGTTTGACGAAAAACTGGGGAACGGTGAATGAGATTTTTTAATATTTAAAAACTGGGGGAATAAGGTGTAAAAATGGGCAGTTACGCCCCTTTTCCCCCCAGTTTTTAAATATTAATAAATCTGTATCTCATTCACCGTTCCCAAGTTTTTCGTCAATCAAATTTTTTCTGTCTTAGAAAAATCAGTTCTACAACATATCAAAACATTTTTTTAAACAACATGATAAAATACAATATATTACACAGACCAGATTTACTGTATACATATCAGGAGCTATGTTGCATTTCCCCATGTTTGGGGGATTCTTAAGTTATTTTCACATTTTATTAAAAAAACACTAACATATCTTAAAGACACACAAGTAGTACTGTCTATGTAAGTACGCATAATTTACAAGCAGTTAAAATGTAAAAAGAAAGGAATCTAGAAATATTTAACACACATTTCCCCATGTTTGTAATTTGAAAGAAAATTGCAAAGCCCTCTAACTGGTTAAATATATTTTATATAGTAGCATAGTGCCAATGTAAATTAGAAATTTTTGTATTATGTGGTAGTAGTGCAGATAGATATAGATTGAATGACCTTTTCCAAATGGAAAATTGTAGCCTATTTTTAATACTCTATGTATCAAATGATAATAAAGAAGTATTTAGATAACAAGTTTTTAATGTGGAATCATTGTGAGAGTTTATTGAAAATCAAGAGTCACCAACTACAATAGTTCTAATAGGAAATATTTTGTTAGATGGGCATATATAGGTACAAGGTTGTCAACCTGTTTTTTCCTCCCCAACTGAAAATTTTATACAGTAGTTTTTATATTTTTTGTAGATGGTATATCTTTAATATTGATTTTGTTCACAAATCAGTTTTGTTTAATTTGCTTTGGTTTATTAATTACAAAAAAAATCATTATATACAGTATCCTACAAATAAACAGATTCATGGAAATTCTTAAGTTATTTTCACATTTTATTAAAAAAACACCAACATATCTTAAAGACACACAAGTAGTACTGTCTATGTAAGTACGCATAATTTACAAGCAGTTAAAATGTAAAAAGAAAGGAATCTAGAAATATTTAACACAGCAATGCTTACATACTAATGAATATTTACAACTTATTTAGAAATAAAAGGAATAAAAATTACGTACATTTAAAGGGATTTTGATTAAAGTATTTAAAATGTGTTTCATCAAATAATAATTAATTAATAAATTCTTATTTTTAAGTTTACATTATACATTATTATACTTATAATTTATACATTTATAAATTTTATATTTTGTATACTGTACATGATTTTATTAATATTTCTGCAAAGTTTATACAGTGACCTGAAACCTTTAATTGAAAGAAATGGCTGATCCTCCATCCATTTGACCTTCCCCTGTTCTTTAAACCATATACCATCGAATATTGTATCAGAAACTGTTGATAAATTCATTTAAACTTTACAGTCTTGTATAGAACATTGTATTTTGTAGATTTATTGCATAGAACCTAATTACCGTACATACATAATACAGTATACATTTCTCACAGTATTGGCTATATTGCAGGTTAATATTCATTCATTTTTTTTTTACAAAGAATTACAACTTCCAGTTATCATTTATTCTAGCAAAAACAATGTACACAATAGTCAAAGCAGAAATATAGCTCAATCAATAAGTGAGGATAGAGCTCAAACCACCTGCCCTCACCTGCCATGTGCCCTCACAGCAATGATCTACAATGGTACAAAAAAAGCAGATGCTATTACGGCTTCATGAAAATTTATGTTAATGTTGATGTCTGTTTCAATTATGATGTGCACAATTTATAAATGTAATACATGTTTATGGCAAGCAACAAGGAATTAACTTATTTATGTATTTATTTTTTAATCATCAGGATAGAAGGTGGAATATCTTCACTCAGACATACATTTAATGATTTACAATATATATATATACTGAAAAAACAAATGTACACACTTTAGTAGTAATTTCATTGAGTAATAATTAAGAAACATGACTGGAATTCTACAGAGATGGTGATATTTAATAACTTACTGCATAATACAGTACTAAAGTTAGTACTGTACTGTAAATAAATACGTTTGAGAAACATTTAACCTAGATCTTTAAAAAACAATAATTTGGCATTAGCACCAAGTAGATTTATTAAACTTCGGTATCAAGAAACAAACTTAAATACAATATTGTTAATTTGTATTATTTTGTTCAGGCCCAGTACATGGTAAACCTTGAGATAAATTAACTTATATTACTTGATTGTATCATATTATGTTTTATACTTATTTTTCGGTGTTATTATTCCTGCATTTGCTGCTGTTAATGTACATTTGGCTAAAAAATGTGTCAGTGTTGCTCAAGCCAGAATAACCTCCTAACATCTCAAAAATATAGTCTGCTTTTCAATTGTGACTTTGCTTGGGCAACACACCAATTTATTATGATTACTTTTGCTAAAGAAAATTGCACAAACTCTGTAAAACAGTTTAAACTATGACACAAAACATGTTGAATTTATTCCTTGTATCAGGGTCAGATTCAGAGATGTCCTAAGCAGGTGGGTGAGGGGCGTGATCGACAAACAACACTATCCTAGGGGACGGGAGCATTCCCCGCTAAATTTTTGTTTGTTAGACACCCAGAAATAACATCTGATGCGTTTTGGACGATCAATAATTTCTTTTTTTCCCTTTACTTTCCAAAAAAAAGAGGGGGGGGGGGGGGGCAGGGATCCTACCCACTAAATTCACCCTGATTATTTTATAAAATAAAGCTTCAAAATTAATTAAATTCCTAATTAATAAAAATGACTGAAAACAATGTGAAGTTAAAAATATAAAAACTGAAATATACAATATCATAAAAACAAAATTTAGAACACTGTTTTACATGTATATATTTTTATGAAATTAACAAGAATAGATACAGTAATCCACTGCCAGTGTTAAATAATACAACAAATTAAATAAAATGAATGGCAAGCTTTGCATGTCCAGTCTCATGGAAGGAAACCACTCTCAGCCTCCAATGTAAAAGAGGGATAAACACTGCCTTGTTGGCAGAACCCCTATTGCAAATATGGTTCAGAAACATTAATCAAAAATCTTGCCTACATTGGTCAGTAAATGATATTAAGAACACACAGAATTATTGCAGTATCAAATACTATATTGCTTTCAAATAAATTGTACTGTATTTGAAATCCAACAGGAGTAGAATGTATGTTTGAGCATTGCATTGAGTCTCAATAATTTTCTTGAATAACTCTTCTGAATCATGTTCAAAAAATTTACTGACTATGTTTGATGGAAGATATAAAATGAAGAAATATTAGTGTCACAGGTTGGTGTCTGGTACCATGGATGGCATGGTGCTAGTTTTGTGTTAAGTGAACCTGAGTTATTGGTCTTGGGCCTACACTGAGTTATCAATGCTTGCTTTTGTCTGAACCAAGCGGTTTGGTGCAGACTGGGTCAACATGAACTAAACCTTTGTCCACTGAGCCACTGCATGTGCCTACGTACAGCAGGTTAGATCAATGTCATTTCCTATTGTATCTGATCCAATGGAGCTAGTTAGGCCATCATGTGATCCACAAATTGAGTTGCTTAGATTTGGCCTACAATTTGTTATCATGGGTTACTCCCTATCTGATCCACAGGCAGGCTGGTGTTAGTTGGGTTAACATAAACCTTTTTGGAATTGCTTGGCTTGGGCCTACAGCGGGTTGCATCAATGTCTACAAGTTGTGCTGCAACGTTTTTCTGCACTGCTCCTGGGTTTATGTAAACCTATCAAATATCAAAATAAAGCAAAAAAATCAAGAAATACAAAAATATAATAAATAAAATAACAATTCTAGTGCAGGAATATGCTTAGTATCAGTAACAATGTTCACCCAATTTATCTAAATCTTCCACCTTTGTTTTTTCAGTTGTATATGTTTATCACTAGTATACTGTTACATACCACTAAATAAATACCACTATAAACACTACAGTATATCTAAATGTATTGACTATGACTGTTTATGTTTGCTTACTTTTTAATGTGATTGTTTATTAAATAAACAATCAAATTAAAAAGCAAGCAATAAACAAAATGACCTTTGCCTTTTAATACAGTATATAAATCTGTATTTTTTGTGTAGACTTCTTTCCGCCATTGCTATAGTGAGGAGGAAAGAGGGCAAAATTGTTTATTAGGGCTAATTGCCTATTCTCTCTTCTGGCAAATATATATACTGTATCTTGAAATGCCAAATAAATATTATTATTATTATTATTATCATAATTATTATTTATATGTTTATGATGATCTGTATAATTTTTCAAATTTCTCAAGGTAAACTTAATTAATTTTCAGCTCTTTTCAAACTGACATTATAAATGTTTATTTATTTGGAAATTCACAAAGATCCATATTACATCAAATTAAAAATACCAGGATAACGTATAAAGATGCAGGGCTTAATTCCAATGGGGGTCCTTGTACATTAAATATTAATATTACAATATGAAGCAATAAATTTTGTGGGGTTTTTTTTGTAATTTAAGAAAAAAAATTAAAAAATTTTGGTAATATTTTTCATGCTAGAAAGTATTAAGATAATCTTACCTCATCTTTATCAATTGTCTTTTGTGACTCTTTTGTGATCTTATATTCAACACGGAGAGAGGCCTCTGAAGGACCAACTTGATAAGGATTTGTCATCGCGGTCGACTCCATATGCGACACTAGCTTGGAATGCTGTATGGCACGCCGCTGATGGAGTTTGTAGAGTATAATGAATGATATCATTCCAGCCATGATCACAAATGCGAGTGCTGCGATGACTGTGATAGCAAATGGTGACAACATTTCCTCATCTGGAATTAAAAAAAGAAAGTCGGAGAGAAATAAGTTACAGATAGTGACGGTGCCAGTGGGGTGGCAGGGGGGGTCTTAAGCCCCCACCAGACAAGTTAAACCCCCCCCCCCTGTCCTATCCTAGAGCCGCAACTGGTTACAGACCCAACAGATGTATGAAAGTGATAAAACAGAATCCCATTATAAAGCTTATTTTTAGTGAGAAATATCTTTAACATGCAAGATTTGTCACCTGCTGGGTGGAAACTTAATGTGGGACATTTTCTTAAATGAATAAATGCACAAACCTTTACTTTGCGGGGGACACAGCTCAGTGTAAAGGGTAACATTGCGGTCATAGGCAACCGTTTCCAAGCGATCAAATGTATAATATGACACCTGGGTAAAATGCATAAACAAAAATAAAAACAATAATAATCTTTTAAAATAAACACTTTTAAATGTTTTTTTTTCTGCATTATTTTACAATATTTTGATTTGGAGGACACAAAGCAATTGATGGAAGTCATAAACTACTACTGTAGTAATGGATGGTAGTTGCACCAGGACAGGTTATATATCTCACTATATATTTAAATCAACAGCATGGACAAAATACACCACAGACAGAAACAGATGACATGATTTGGGAGCGGCCTCTGCACAGAAGTGGGATGTAAACAGGGTGTAGATGATGATGAAGATGATATAATTCAAAAAGTAATTACAAAGGTCTGATACGTTTTTTTTTTAACAAAAAGCTGAGTCCTGGTCACTATGAGAATCTTTTTAATCCCATTTGTTGATCCCTTTAATCCTTACCCCAGCATGTGGATATTAACAATCATGCTGAAAACTGGTAGCAACTACAGTGTGTAATTATTGCAGATTTGTACACTCTCTTTGATTCCCAGCATTGGTAATCTAGCTAATCACTGACACAATGTCACTTAAGGGAAAATCAAATGATATTGACCTATGAACCAGAGCCCATGATTTGTATTAAGCTTCACTGGAATGAAGAATACAGTCTGAATACAGATTTTCATATTGTTTATTATAGTTAATAGTTGAAAGATTTATAATGGTAAATTTTAGAACATTAATTCACAGCAGTCTCATGTGGCCTTCAAATAGAGAGACTGATTATTTAATGGACAAAAAATGAGACTTGATGGCACCACTACAACACTTGATGGCATTTAGTGAAATCAGGGTACCTACCACCCTACAACACTAGCAAACACAATTAATTAATTCAGATGAGGAGCAGGGATGATTTTGTTTTACTCAAGTACAGTACTGTAGTATATATTGCATTTGCACTAATGAATAAAACATTCATCTCACCGTAACCTGGATTGAATCTGGTACTAATATTGGCTGCATTTGGACGTGGATAAAGACCCCACTGTACCCCTTCACAGGCACCCGCTCTTCATGGTTTGCAAACACCCGTGCATAGTCAACATTGAGCCCATCAATCTACAAAAAAAACCAAAAGTACAAACATGATCAATTTATTCATTTGTATCAAATAAATTTAATTCTAAAAAAATCTTTGCCAAATTTTACATTATTTGTTCCTGCTAGAGATGAATATAGTTTTTTTCTCTGAGCTACTCTATAGCACCTATTAGGCATTTCATAAGGTGCTATACAACTGTGAATAAGGCCCAATAAATTAGTTTATCACCCTCACATTTTTTTCATTAAAAAAAAATTAAATACAGTAGTTGGTAGATATTGTTTGTATTATCTCAATGTTTTATTATCACCAGCAAACAACCCAAGGGTGATATTTGGCTTTAGATAAAAAAAAAAAAGCCTCCCTCCCTCATCACTTTTCCAGCCTAGATAGGGTGATAAACTAATAATATTTTTTATAGGGACTAATAAAAAAAATGTTATTCGATTCTTTCCAGAAATTATATACAATAGAACTACAGAATACCAACTCTGAAATTCTCTGATTCTCTATCCTCAGGCCCATAAGCTCCTGATTGCTGCCTGCACCCACCCCCACCCCACTCCAAGCAAAAAACCCTGGATCCACCACTATTCGTCTTTTTTTTAAATTTTGGTTAATTTATCACAGCTATTTTCATGCTCAACATTAGCAGACACATCCATTAAAAATATTGATTTCATGTTAATCCTCAGTAATTAATAAGCACTGATTGTAACATGTGCACTTATTAGTCCATGCATGTAAGTATTTTTGTCCACGCAATGAATTAAAACAGCATTGGTTATGATATCAATGGGGAGTTAATGAAATCACAAGCATAATTTGAAGAATTTATTGGGATTTTAAAACTTAAATCCATTGTATTTAAAATGAGACAGGTGCATTTATACTAACATCTATATAGTGAAAAACAAATTTGCTCTATATAATATTTAATGTAGTCTTTTAGACCGGCTAATTAATTTTTCTTTATAACCGTTCAGTATTTGTAAAATTATAAAATAATAATTTAAATTTATATAGCACCTTACACTAATAAAAGCCCAAAGCACATGTATGTATGACAATAATCAAGTCAGAAAATCAGATAAAATTTATTTGCTTTGTTACCATGGCAAGTGGTATACAGAATGATTGTACACAATGTGTGTTAAGTCAACAATTTACTGGTTACCAGTACTTATTATTTATAACTTGTAACATAACCATCCACATAATGTAATATATCTCATATACTGATGAACACAAATAGTACTTGCATACCTCTTACATGCATCATTACAGAAATAGAATTAGAATTGTTATTGTCAAAGTATCTACCCTTGCGGAGTACCCATGCATTTGATTCAGAATACAATTCATTCATACATGATAATAACAAATATTGTTGTTTTACGTCGATATTGACTTTGTATTCTATTCATCTCACTTAATTCAAGTAGGTATGTTATTTGAAAATTTAAAGATGACAACAATTAATTCTAAATCATACTTTATTTTAGATATTGCTATACCCGAGTTACTATTCTTATTATAATTATAATTTTTAAAAGACACAGTAAAATGTAATGTAGTATATTTTCTCATTCAAAAATTTCAAGCAATTCTTGTAATTGATGCATTTCCTATTATACTCAATACATCTCACTTAATTCAAGTATATTTGAAAATTTAAAGATGACAAAAATTAAATTCTAAAATCATGTTGTAATTTAGATATTACTGTACCTGAGATATTATATTTAATCATTATCTTTTAAAGATACTGTAAAATACAATGTAGTATATTTTCTCATTCAAAAATTTTAAGCAATTCTTGGAATTGATGCATTTCCTATTATTATAATACTTTATATTAAGTTTACACCTGAATTAAAGTTGAATGCACTTATAATAGATATCGAGAACACATCTCAATTACCTTTAACTCCATCTGAATATTAATAGAAAGTACAGCAATACAAATTATTAATCACTCAATAATAGCACAACACAATTGCATTTTTTATATATTTCTCTTTTGTTGTTTAAATCTTTGTTCATATCAGATGAATAACATTTTTTCTGTCGCCACGAATAAATTAAATTTATTATATAGATTAATGAACCTGTACTTTGAGTAATCAATTTAAGTAGTTTTGTAATGAGTGCAGCCAACAGTGTATTGGAATTCTTGGTGCAATGTGCTTTATATAAACCAAATAATTTGTTAGATATTTTGTTTTTTAAGTTGTTTAATGGAAAGAGTTTGTATACATTATATTTACTTTTCATTACTACTACGAAAGTGAAAATTCAAGCCATACTTGTTCAACTTATGACGTAGTAGCAATGAGTTTATAGTTCCATGGACATACTGTACCTGAGTTATCACCATTATTTCTGTCGGGTGACTGCAACGGAATAACTGCGTGTACACTTTGACCTCATATCCATGAAAATTGACAGTACAATTTGAATGTAGGTTCTTGTTGTTGTGTGTGCATTCTCCTTCCCTGGAATTTCTATCATGAGCTGTCAAAAGAAATGGATACCAGTCAATTCACAGTACAGCTTTTTCCCCCCAACCAGGGTTACGCAGTGACATATATAGGGGTTGGGGGTGCACGCACACCGAAGAAAAGCTCCCTCCCACCAAGTCTACCAACGGGCAAATATTAAAAGCAACATTATGCATACTACCTTATTTTGCCAGCCACCTCCTCTTCACTTTATCATTAACCTCTCCCACTTCACATTCATGCCCCCATCATCCCCTCCCTGCATTTCAATACCTTAGAATATGCCACTGGGATTAGAGATATCCTCCCCCTCTTTTACTTTATTTTTTCATGGTTCGAATTAGGCAGTATATAGGAAACCTATTGGGCATCTTTGTAATCTGAATTTTTGCTAATTACATAACTACTGTACTGTATGTAATAAAGTCGTCCAGCCAAAGAGAATTTTGAACACAAGAAGAATTGCCTACAAATCTTTCTTATTCAAAAAGTTCTTAAGTTACCTTAATCCATCAAAGAGAGGTTTAACTATGCTAATATCATAGGGAGGTAAAGGGAGGTTTTAATTTGTTCCAAAAATAGACTGGGTTTTAAATCTCCATTCACTAATAAGCAATGGGATATAAAGCAAATATAATGCCAATGGGATATAAAGCAAATATAATGCCAATGGGATATAAAGCAAATATAATGCCAATGGGATATAAAGCAAATATAATGCCGAATTATAAAGTTGTAGTTCTAACTATAAAGAAAGAAAATTCTTTCTTTATGTTCTAACTGATTTTTATCAGCAATTAGCATTTATAATTTATATATATCCAGTGAGATGGTAAATTTGCAAATGAAACAGAGATTAATGGTATTGGAATAGTAGTGTACAGAAAGTTTTAGTTGGCAACAAAAGATATAATCATATTTTAAATCTCCATCTACCATTAAACAAAGGGATATAATCCCAATATAAATAGCGATTTATTAGAGTACAGTAATTCTAACCGATATAATTTCAATAATACGGAGGGATAAAGAAACGGATAGCGTTTTGTAAACAAAATTAAAGAGGTTTAACAATGCTAACATTACAGGTGTAAAGGGTTTAGTTTGTTATTGAAAAAGAATTGTATTTTAAATCTCCATTCACAGGTAAACAAAAGGACACAAACCAAACAAGGGTTTGTTAAGTTGCAATTCTAACAAAACTTACGAACTGAGTTAACGCAGGTGACTGCAACAATATGAACACTCAGGTATAACAACACTTTCAAAACAAGCATTGTAGCGTGTTTTTTTGTGTAGATTTGATCGAATGTGCACCGGTAGATAAATGTCTAGAAGAGATGTTGAAATCCAAAGTCATGTATATAAAATCCAACCACGATTTTTACCTATGGAATTAACAGATGTAGAAAATAATTTTTAGATGATTGCAATTTGTATGAATTATTTAAAACCGATATTAATAAAATGAATAAATAGTAACTGTAAAGTATTAAATATTACAGAGTAATGAATGAGTAGTTGATAATATTTATGAATAAATTATAATAAAGTTCATTATATTTTTTATCAATTATGAAACAGATATTAATAAAATGAATAATAATTGGCAATTATTTATAAAGGATGAATATTTGCTCTATGATATTAGCTACTAATTTGAAAAATAACAATAAATCATTGATAATAATGCATCCATGTTGGTGTACGATGTGGACAATTTTAGAATTTTAAACTTTTGTTGGCTGAAGAAGGCAGAAGTGAACAATTTCCACAGTACACTTTTCTTTTAATAAGAACAAGTAAAGTAAAATTTTGCTAAGTGTTCTTATTTTTTATGTACAGCAGTTTAACTACTGTAATGATACAGTAGAACCTTGGTTCCCAGGCTTTTTGCATTAACGGACCTCGGGACATGTCTAAGTATAACTCACTTTCCATATCCCAACAATACAGATAGAAGATGGTTTGTGGTGGATCCTGGAATTTGAAATATAAACCACCTCAGCCCCACCATGGTTGGGGCTGCAGGTACAAAATATTGTATGTCTATGGCACTTATAGAATTCTAGATGAGCGGAAATGGCACTTTCAGACTCAAAATTTTCCAAATCCCTCATTTATTTTAGTTGTGTAAAATACAGGACAATTCATGATATTCTACCAATAAGATTATGGATAGAAGGTGATTTGCCACAATTTTTTCAAATTGAATTATTACTATTTATGAAGAAAATAAATTGTTTCATTGAATTGAATTTATTTGAAAAGTACATCAGTAAATATTAGCGGATCCTTCAAAACAGAGAGTGGTAGAAAGTGAATTTTACAAATAAGGAGTCGACACTATCTCAGCCCTACCTTGGTTAGGGCTGAGGTACGAAATTGTTATGTTGATGGCACTTCTAGACTAAAAATTTGAATATAATATTCTGTTATCCCCATTTACACTATTTTTAATTTTGTAAAATTTAGGGCTCTCCTGATTTTTAAAATTTATTCAATATCAAGATATAAAAGCAATGCAAGAGAAAACAAGCAAACAAGATGTACATAATATTACCTGAGGATTGCCACTTATCAAGTGGCTCTCTATACTAAACATCTGTACATAAAACATACAAACAAATATAAAAGATTCTATCCTATCACAAATAAAATACTGGAATTAAAATATGCCAATTAAAACAAAAGCAGTGAACAAAGTCATGCCTATGTCAAAGGTATTTCATTACTGTATTGAGAAGGCATAATTACTGTACAGTAATGCTCATTAAAATGCTTAGCACACTTTTGTACAATAAGACATGAAAAATAATGGAAAGATGAAAAATTGATCTAAAAAAATCTAGCGGACCACCAAATTTTTCACGGATCCCCAAAATTTTTCGCGCACCCGCTGCAGATCCTTTTGACTTGGCGGACCTCCAATTATTTTCCACGGACCTCAGGTTGGGAACCACTGTTATTATAGAGGGTATTTCATAATCACACCTACCACACATAAGGTACAGATAGATTTCTTGGTTTTATCTAGTTTAAAAAAAATAAAAACCTCATTTGACATTTTACTCTGAGCCTCAATTTTGATCTTATTATTTATGTTCTTAATTTTTAAGCAATTTCAGCCTTAGTGTTCTTATAAAATGTGTTTTTTATTTAAAAAAAAAAAAAAAAAGTTTAATTCAAGTAAAAATTATGTTCGAACAAAAGTTCGAATATAATAAATAAGTACAATAAAAAAATATATTTACAAATCTACACAAATTTACTTCAAAATTACTATATATTTACAAATCTACTGTACATAAATTTATTTCAAAATGATTATGAATAATTTGCCTTTTCAAAATAATGTTTAACTTACCTTCAGTTTAATGCATTCAATAATCTACTATTAATCCTGTACATTGCATCACACTAGAAATTAGTCCTCACCACCACACTCACTGCCGGCCTGATGTAGACTGAATATGCTAAGTAAAGGTCTTTTGATGCACTACATGTTTACGTCAATGTCTGGCCTAAAGGCAAAGTAAAAAAAGATCTAAACCAATAACACAGTGACCTCTACCCAATGGCACTTATTGATCAAGGTATTGATCAAGTGGAAGGCTTAGCTCACAATGTGGAAACAGTAATAAGTCCACAGGCAACGGCTTGCGTTTATTGTCATAGTGAGTAAGCTTTCTGGAACTCCAGTTTACCCTGTGTCCACAACAGCAACACGATATATTTACATTATTGTTTTTTAAATTTAATGTTAATCCTAGCATACAACATCAGGTACTGTACTTTGATTTTAGAGTTATCTGTGACAAGATTAAATTTCTAATTTTTCAAATTAAAAACTTTCTTGTATTGTTCAATAAAGTGTCAACGTATGTTACGACCAAAAAATATTCTGTTACAGAAAAATTAAATCTACTGGTAACTACTTATAAAGAATAAAATTAAATAAATAATTAATAAACAAATGAAATACAAAATTGAGATGGCAGCAGCAACCCTCTCCCACCCACCCCCAATTAACTTCTAAAAAATTGCCTTGGCAATGAGATTATGATATAGTAAAATGTACATTGTTGGATGTATAAGACAAAGTGAGAATTTTTTTACATGACCTCCCCCTCCCACCCCTCCTCTATATCCTCCACTAATATTAATAATACAACCTCAGTAAACAAAACTGCTTGAATTATGAATGAAAATTATTCTGTATTTACTCATACTCATTGTCTTCCTTCACGCTGTAATTACAATGGGGCTTAGCTGACCGTGACAACTAATCGAAATTAAACAGACCGGTTCACTTCTCTAATTAATCAACAACCATCCACCGAAAAATAACAAAGGCATTTAATCGGACAACTAACGCTGTCATCATCGGCATTCCCTATGTAGTATAGATTTATTTGTCATCTTGACTGAACACCACAGCTGCGTGCCTGGGAGAATTATCAGCTTGGAGGATACCTAGTTGTCTTCTTGGTCCCACTGACCTGACAATGACCTGGTGCAATTTTTGGTTGGCTCACATTTATACAATTTATCCTATGTGCTTTGGTTTAAGCTCTGTGATTGGCTGTCATTCAGCCAATGCATCCCTATGTATCAAAATGTATGAACATTTCTTGAATTTCACCCAAACTTAATTGACCAATCAGGAAAATTTATTGCAGAACTGTTTTAATTTTGGGTGGGAGCACAAGTAATTTTTGGAGGGGTGTGCGCCCCTCACACATCCACTAGACATGCCACTGCCTTACTGGAGCCGAACTGTCTATTGTGTGTGCAACGATAGATTGTAGACAGATGAAACAAAACAGCATTTTACTGTATTAAATACAGTGATTAAGAAATGGCACATTAGTTTTATTATTTGGTATAGAAAAATAAGATTTAACTATATAGATCATAATGAAGAACAACAGAGGTTAATTACAGACTTTGATATTACCCTGTATTTTAGGCCCCATAAAAAAAATTATTAGTTTATC